ATTTATCATTTACCTGTTATTTCTGCTTTGGAGAGCAGTGAGATAGATAGATAGATATATGTGTGTATATATATATAAATATTTATATTTACTTTGATAGCAGCTAACGCTACCGTAGCTATCACAGCCTGCTCTGGACGTTAGCTGTCCTCTGTAACTAGTTAGCTACTTAGCAGCTAGTTAACGTTAGGTCACGACACGTAACGTCACTGCTCTCCAAAGCAGAAATAACAGGTAAATGATAAATCATTCGCGTTAAGACTGATATGCTAGTTAATATGCCAGCAAAATTATAGCTAACGTTAGCATAACAACTAACGTTAGGAAGGTAACTGCTGGTCAAACTGACAGTTTTACCTTACCTCAGGAATGGTCTTTGCTGGAGGATGACATAACGACGTGGTTAAAATAACTCAGGTGTGCTTATCGTGAAATTAACCTTAAATCAAAGGTAAATATTCAGCTCGAACAGCTGTCGCCATGGCTTCGATTCCGCGATGCTGTGGGAAAAGCCCCCTACGCACACGTACATGCGCACGTCCGCGTGTCCCGCATGCGGGTATACCTTGATACAGCGCTCGTCATCGTCACATTGGTCGCGCGCTCACCTATCCCCGCTGCTGCCTGGAGCACACGAGGACGGAGGAAGAAGATGCCGTCCGTAGCCTGCCTCGCGTGATTTTGTGTAAAACCAGCTGGTTTTTTTTTCAGCCATGTGTCTTTTTTAAAGCGTCTTCAGTTCAAAGTTCAGACCAGATTCCGTCACTGAATATCAGATTCTTGGACTGAGGCGTGAAGGTATTAGCTAACAACAAAACAGTAACCTATTAACTTACACGTGGGCTCTGTGGGTACAGGATGGACCATGATTCATATCAGTGGTGGGAAGTGCGTTTACTCAAGTAATGCACTTAAGTACATATTTTAGGTATTTGTTCTTATGTTTGAATCTTGTTGCTACTTTATTTGTGTACGCCACTGTGATTCACAGCGGAATATTGTTCTTTTTATTTAACTACATTTCATTGGACGATTAAAGTTAGTTACTTTTCATTGTAGATTATGAAGCTGCATAAAATGGAAATACTCAAGTAAAGTGCATGTACTTCAAATGTGTCGCCTAAGAGATACAATAAGGTAAAAATAATCCTTTATTAGTCCCACAGTGGGGACATTTACAGGATTACAGCAGCATAGTGGATAGTGCAAACAAGAGACAGTAAAAAATACGATCAAAACAAGTATTATAAATAAGTATTAAAACAGTAAAGAATATTAAATAAGTAAAAATTGTATATATACAGAATAATTGCAGTATTACACAGTATTTATATTGCACAGATGTTTTAGTGTTGTGTGTTTTACTGGGAGCATAGCTCGTTGTGCAGAATTTAAGTAAATGTACGAAGTCACGTCCCACCACTTGCACCTTATTGCCCAACTTGGGTGTCTTCACTTTCTACTGGTTTGTGGTAAAATGACGACTGTCAATATTTACATGATTTACTCTACACTGTCCACTAGGTGGCGCTGTGGGCCTGACCCTCCCATCACAGACCGGAATCGCTGCAAAAAGGGGAGAAAAAAAAACCCACAGAAGAAGTAGTGTCGCAAAAGAAACGGGATTAGAATGTAGGATTTAGTTGTTTCTCTTTTAATTCATTATTATTATTTTTTATTATTTTTATCCCTTAGAACAGTGATGAAACGTTTACTCTGAAACTGCACACTTGCGGTACAGTAGGTGGCGGTATGCAGCTATTCAAGTTGGTTGCGATCCGCCAATCAAATTAGAGAAGAAGAAGAAGTGGTCCCGCAACTAGCTACTAGCACAGGCGGTTAGTAGTTCATGACGGGCTGCTGTCACCCAGAATAACGCAACACTTTAGCTTCGTTCACTCTTCACCCTGGTTTTCTTATGACATCCTTCAAACCCGGTGACAGCATCGCATTATGTTTGAGGTACCTGCGTATTATTGTGCAGCTAACCGTCGTTTGCTGGGATTTTGGATGTAGCGTTACTGTTATAGTTAACTGACGTTAGCTAGGTAGACGTATCTCGTTAACCTGGTATACATGAATACGTAATGACTATTACCTTGTTATGTGACAGTGGATTAAACATTAAAACACATTTCAATCCCACATTCAACAACAGCTTCTAAATGTTGTGAGAATAGCTTGAGTGCTATGCTACGTTATAGCTAGTGGCGTTTGTTATTAAACTAACGTTCAGTAACATGTACAACTTAACGTTAATCATGTATGCGCTGCTCTCACAGCTTGTTACTTGTCCAAAGTGTTGTTGAAGAAAATAATAAATCAGATAGCTCACAGTGCGAGGAATAATTCTAGCTAGCATAACAAAACAGAGAAGTTGTATTATTGCAGTCATGCATGTAAGACTGGTGTCACCTGTGTGAACGAGCCATCATCGGTTAAAGAGTTGCAGAAAAGTACTATTTTAGCCTTATGCTTGATCCACAGCACGTTTACTGGATGTAAGCAGGCCAAATGTTGGCTTTCTTCTCAGTAAAATGACACAAAATATACTCCAAGAATTTAATCTTTTTAATAATTCACTTAAATAGAACGATAAAAGGAACTGAACTACACCTCTAACTCTATTAATGTATAAATGTAGTGACACAGTAATACACTGTGTATCAGTGCACGTTGCATAGATGTGTTATACAGGTACACAAGCTGATGATGCATGAATATTGTTATAACATTAAAATTATCGTGTAAAAATTAGAAAAAGTTTATAACGAGCCTTTTTTGTGCTGCTGTATATGACACCTCAGTACAACAGTTTCAAGAAAAATGTAACTATATAACCTTCATAAAGGTAGGATTTATTGATTATAACTTGGTGTACTTAATAAACTGCATACTTAAAAGTATAGTTATGCGTAACAGTTAATCGCTGTGTTAAGAAGGCACTGCAATCCCACCATCGTCTGCAGGTCAATGTGAGTCAGATATTAACCATGATATTCAGTTTTTATATTCAATATTAAACCGATTCAGTAAATTTAAATAGAGATTTAAAGCAAAATGCGTCCATGTGTATGTGACGCAAAAAAAACAAAGATTCGTTTTTTTTATTTCTAACTTTTACATTTTATGTTGTAAGAATATTTTTAAGCCCTGCACACTGTATATGTTGCACTAAGGTTATTGAAAAAAATAAAACCTTGGACAGGATAACAAACAATAAAGCAGCAAACAACTCGGGCAATTATACAGGTACGATGTACCAATTAGTGATTGTGACAGGCAAGGCATCTTAAAGGGTAGCTTTGGTACCAAAGGTTGAAAAATACCAAAGGGTAGCTTTGGTATTTTTCAACCTGGACCTTATTTTCCAGTGTTTTTGTGTCTTAGTGACTAATAGGTACAACAATTTTAGAAATTGGTCCAGTATTGAGCGAGAGTGGTGCAGCCGGGAGCTGCGATGTAATCATATCGGGAAATCTTGCACCGTCAATGTACTGTACGTCCACTAAAAGTGTTTGTTTTTGCCACTGACACGAGCCTGTCAGTGACAAAAACAAGCTCTCTTAGTGGACGTAAACATTGCCTTGAGCTGAGCTGTTACATTGCAGCCCGTTTAGTGGCTGCCAGCTGCAGCGTTCTCACTCAATGCTGCACCAATTTAAACAAAATGTTGTCCCCCATTAGTCACTTAGACGCAAAAACATGGCAAAAAAATACAGAAGGTACCCTTTAATATCCATAGAATTTAATAGAAAATATAATGATTGGCACAAAACAAGTCATAATTCATAAAATAAGTTTGAATAGTGCAGCGAATAACCACCCCTTTGATTTGCTTTTGTTTTGACTATTACAGCCCAAGGCTAGAGTAAAAACATGTTGCTTTATATTTTGAATTTATATTATGACTCCAAAGGTTCCTGAGCTTTGTTGCTGTTTGCCTTCCTGCGTTCATTACTGAGCATTAGTGTCTCTGTCTTTGCTTCTCAATAGGATCCTGAACTCCAAGATCCGTTGTCGCTGAGTCTTAATGAGAACTATGACGACCAGAATTCGCCACGTCGTGATTCACAGAAAGCACCAGCGAGCCCCGACTATAGTTGCGACACACCAGAGATTCGAGTAATCATCAAAGAGGAAGAGGAAGGCTGGACTGTGAGTGAAAATCGTGAGTGGACAATCTTAAATACCAGCATCACCTTGCTCGATGACGTACACAAAACAAAAAGACTCGCTCGTGATTTTTCACATTTCTGTTTTTCACTTTGTCATGTTAAACACAGATGAGAGCATCAGCTCAGAGGGAGAAGAGGAGGATTCTTCCGTACACTCTCGACATCCCGACCTCAAAGCGTGCGGGAAGGAGAGCGGCATTTCCTACGGAGTGAAGGGTGAGCAGAGGGTGTATTCAGCGGAGACATGTTCCCTCTACGGGCAGAGCTCCTCGGCCGGAGAGGGGCAGCAGACACACGCGCTCATGGACACGGATGAGAAACCTCAGATATCCTGCATACGGGGAAAAGCCAATGTGACTTTGCATCAGTGCAATAACACAGAGGAGAAACCCTTCTCCTGTCCGGCGCGCGAGACGACCCTCAGCCGCAAAAGGAACGCGAAATCCAATCAGAGAGCACATGCGGCGGATGAGTGTCCTGCTCAAGACCAGAGCCTCGATGAACATCAATCCACATCGACAACCGCAGACGCAGAAGAGACCAAAAGATCAGCACCTTGCCAAACAGTATGCAAGTTTTAGTTTTAGTTTCAAAGTCGGTTTAGAGATTTTTTATTATTCCAGCCAAATGAGAGAAACGTCCAAATCTGATGTCACTACTTTTTTCGCACTGTGTTCTGTATTCAGGATTCTCCTGAACGTACGACCCTGATGTCACACAAACTCAAGAGGGCATCTGCGAACTTAGAGGACCAAACGCTCCACTTGACTGTCAGACTGGAGGCAGGTGAGGAGGAGGAGGAGGAGGAGGAGGAAGAAGAGCAAGATGAAGAAATTGGTGGTTTGATCAACTCTGATGGAGAAGTGGTTGAATGGGATGCCAGTAAGTGATTCAGCGCAGCATGTTGTTTCAGTTTCCCATAGAGATTATTTGCTAAAGCACATTTTGATTCGCCGTTAAAAATTGAGGACATGTTCTGGGGATTTTGCAACCAAATATTTATTTATTTAGTATTTTCCAAAACAAGAATACATGAAAACTCCGTTGTGCAGAGACTTCATTTTTCTATTTTCTGTCATCATTCTGTTAACAGTCGAATGAGTGGTCATAACTCACAACATTAGTTTTGACTTTATTTTTCTTGTAGAATGCAGCTATTTATGTTGAAAGTGTGGAATATCAGTTGTCATGTCTGGTTTCTCTTCAACCTGAGATAACCATCTTTTTTACAGGAGGCGGTCCTGACCGAGGCTCTGGCTGCAGAGAAAGTCTTCAGCCCAGCAAGGTAATTTGTCTTCAGACACATAAGGGTGGTCTGTTGAACCTTCTGATGGCATATACAGCATATCATTACATTGCATGTAATACAATTCAACAGCTCCACATGTACAAGCTCCAGAATGACGAAACAAGTTTAGTGAATATGTGCCCTGCAAAACCTTTTCCAGTTTGACTTAGTGGAAAGTAAGAAATGACGACATGAAAATGACTTGTAATGTGCAGCAGAATTACTATCCATCCCTGAAGTGCCCCAAATGTTTTTTTATTTCTGACTGTCCATGCAGAGGGTGCCTGCCACAAATGAGTGACTTTACAAAATGATTGGATTGTGTAACTTCTGCTTATTAAGGTTTTATTTTACCGTTAAAGTTCAACATCAAAGTATAATTGTGACCAAAACTTAGTTACCAGAGAGAGTGTTGTGAATCACACTGCAGGGAAGATAAATTGGTGGTTTTAACTAATTAACAGCTACCAATACTAATAATAATAGTAATTAATAGACATCAAGACATCAGCCCCCACACACAGATACGGAAAACAACACAGAATAGTTTGGATTACATTCTATAACCGCTACTATAAAATGCATTTTTATCTCTGCCCTGTTTGCAGGCTTAAAGTGTGACTTTGGTGTTTTTCAACCCTATTTTCCATATTTTTAGTGACAAATGGGGACAACAATTTTTAAAAACTGGTTCAGTGGTAAAGGAGAACGCTGCAGCCAGGAGCTGCTAAATGGGCTGTTATTAATTATTATTAAGTGTCTGACAACATTACGGAAAGAAAACCGAGAAATAAAACGTTTTTTTGTTTTCTTACCTCTCATGATCTGGTCACAAACACCGTCACTCCTCTCTCCAAGTCTCACTCACACTCTTTCCACCGTTGTCTTCCTGCAACGAGTCTCATGACGCAAAAACAAGCGAGGGTAAAGAAAAGCGTTGTATCCCTCTGTAGGTTCCTTTCCGTAATGTTGTCAGAGAACTGTAGTGACAATCTGAGCCTCTCAGTGGCAAAAAACGAGCACTTTTATTGGACGTACGTTGACGGTGAGGAATTGCCCGATATGATTCCATTGCAGCCACTAAATGTGTCTGCCATCTGCAGCGCTCAGGACCAATACTGAACCAATTCCATGAGCTACTTAGAGACACAAAAACATGAGAAAATAGGTTGAAAAACACTGAAGTTACCCTCCTAAGTATTGTTACCCGGGGAGGCCGTTTCTGATGGTTTTTGATGATTATGATCACAGGGTGTCGTCCAGTCCGAGTCTCAGCTGCAAGGCCAAAACCAGAGAGACAGCAGTAGTCCAACGCTCATCATGGAAGTTGTGTCTGTGGGGGAGGAAGAAGAAAGGGAAGAAGGGGAGGAGAAAGAGAGAGTAGTAAAGATGGCAGCGGTCTCGCCCGTATATCGTGGTAAACACAAGTCAAACGAAAAACAATGACAAGTGTTCAGGTTGTAAGCGATGGTCATGACTCGGTTGTCTTTTTGCACACAAACGTTGCCAGGGAAGAGACTCAGAAGAAAGAAGAAGGTTCCGGATGTAACGGTGGTGTCATTAGACGCCTCGGACACGGAGAAAGAAGTTCCTCCCGGTGAGTGAATTGTTGGAAAGACGATTTTCATTGTAATACACTTTCTCAATATTGATATAATAGAATAATATCAATAATATTGATATAATAGAATAGAATAGAAGTTGGGTGGGTTTCAGCATCAATATAATAACTTTTTCTTTCCACGTGGCAACAATTTTCTGCCGTTTCTCTTTGTCACGAAGTCAAAAGAAGGGGCAGAAGAAAGATCTGTAAAGCTCCGGTGTTGTCTGGTGAGGACCTGGAGGCAGAGCCAGGAAGTGAGTGTTCTTGATGTGCTGTTGACGTGATCTTTTTTGCATGTTATTGTTTTGTTGTAATAAGTCTTACCTCTTATCTTACCTGACAGTATCAAGGCGCACCCGAAGGAAGATAAATTTCCCTACCATCGTTGAATCAGAGGATTTGTACTCCAAACATGTCCGCCGGGTTGCTGGTAAGACAACAAATCATACGGTCAGGTATCGCTTTGATTTAGTTGACTCTGAATCCATTTCTGTGTGGTTCGTCATGTATTATTTAAGCAAGACAACCAAAAACAGGTTTAAGAACACATTAAGATGTGGATATTTGTGGGGGGGGTTTCATCAGTGGATCTGCTCAGTGGGAGGTGAGATGAATACGTTAGTTACAGGAAGTTCATTCGAGGACGAGGAAGCATTATTTCATCCATTTTCTGTCATAAAAAACACTTGAAGTTTGATCTGCCATATTGTAAACAACATAAACATGCAAACTTTAAGATTGATTTCCTAACAACTCACTGGTTCCTAAAAAGGTTTAATCTAATTTTGAGCCAGTTCTCGATACCCAACCCATATTAATATATCAGTTTAACATCTGTTTTTTTTGTTTTAGATGAAAGAAATAAACCTTTTTTTTTATTTTTTTAATCTTTTACCAGCAAAGCGACCTTACAGAAGAAGGAAAGATACCAAACTATCTGCTGAGGGAGAAGGAAACAACACAAGTGTTTCTGCTGGTAAGAGCAAATAAAAAGGTCCTTATAGAGTTTATAACCAGCGTCGTCGTGCAGCTGCAGCTCATTCTCAGCAATGATCATTGCTTTACCAAAGGTCAGCAGTCTGTGTCTGAATTGTCTCATACCATGTTACCCCATGGTTAGCTCAGCTTCACCAGTGGGATGACTGGTAATGTAGGGCATAGGTCAAGTATTTCTGCACGACTGCCCTCTAATCATTTAGATTTTCAGTCCAACCATCCTGTCATTTCACCTCCTTTCTCCCCGCATAGAAAAGAAGCGCCCCGGAAGAAAGATGGTTCGTGTTCCAATAGAAATACCTCCGGAGCTCCTGAAGCAGCCCAAAGAGAAGATGGAGTACCACTGCTCCGTGTGCGGCAAAGAATTCCCTCATGCCTACAAGCTGGAGAGGCACGGGCTGATCCACACGGGAGAGAAACCTTACTGCTGCTCCATCTGTGGCCGGGGTTTCAACCAGAAGGGAAATCTCAAAACGCACTACAAAGTCCACTTAGGTGAGAACTCTTAAACCAAAAAAAAACGTACCTTCAAACTACCACGTTCTACTTTAAGAGCAGTTCAAATGAAACCATACAGAAAATGACTGTTTCCACCTGGAAAGAAGTACAGTAATAAATACCTGGCTCAATGTAAAGCATAAGTGAAGTAAAACTGAAGTCTTAAACAGTGCAAAGATTCTTATACTTGTAGAGTAAAACATGATTTGTCTCTCATTTTTGTGTCCGTTAAGGTCGAAAGGGCGCTGTGGATTTTGACGATGAGGTGAATCCCATAGCGTCAGAACTCTCCGAATACTTGAAGTCTCTGCCGGGGGAGTCCAGGATCAAATCCTCCCTCCGTTGCCTGGAATGCGGACAAGAATGTGAGAATCATTCAGCTTTGCAAGCACACCACGTTACTACGCACACAGACACGGCGGAGGAATCGGACGCGGTCGAGCACAGCGCAGCGCAGCTTCTCTTCTGCCGCCGCTGTGGCGTTCAGTTCACTGAAAAAGCAAAGCTGGAGGAACACATGAAAACCCACATCAAGGCGAAGCCCTACTCGTGTCCCGACTGTGGCAAGAGGTTCATCAATGAAAGCTACATACAAATCCACCAGCGTATCCATACTGGGGAGAAACCATTCCTCTGCTCGCAGTGCGGCAGAGGTTTCCACACGGCCTCCTCGCTCAAGCTGCATGAGATGCAGCACTCCGGGGAGAGGCCGTTCGCGTGTTCCATCTGCGGCAAGACGTTTCGGATAAACTCGTACCTAACGGCACATTACCAGACCCACATTAAAGACAGGCCTTTCATCTGCAGCGTCTGCGGGAAAGGCTACTCCAGAGCTGAGGAACTGAAGGTGCACCACAGGCTTCACACCGGAGAGAGACCCTACGAGTGTGGGGAGTGTGGGAAGAGCTTCATTTACCGCCAGGGTCTGCGGCAGCATCAGCGCACACACGCTGGGAAACGCATCGGACCAACCCGACAGCTCGGTCGACCGAAGCAACATGCCAGGCTGGACATCTAGCAGTTGATCTAATGATGACTTCTGTTGTTGTTGTTGTTGTTAACTGTGTTTGATGATATTACAGTGAAACGCGCTTCTCTCCTGCTCTTCTTCCTTCCATTCCTTCCGCCTCCAGCTGGGACTATTAATGTGTCTGAAAATAAGCGCTACAGAGTCGGCGTGGGTTGCCAAGAATATTTTGGGAGCTTACTGTGTTGTCTTTCTTGTATCCATGTTTTGGTTTACTCTCCTCTCGTAGCCCATCTGTACAATTTGAGTGCCTTTGTATCATGCATGCCAAATACTAATACTTAATGTTAAAAAGAATTATGCACAATATCCTTGTTATTTTAAAATCCATGTCGATGGAATACAGACATTTTTCAGAAACGTGTCTGGTTTTTTTTGTCTACATCTGAAATAATGTATCCTTACATTGATTCTCCACAAACAGCTTATTACCCGTCTTTTGATAGTTAATAACCAATCATATAAGGATGTGTAAGTAACTGGTACCTAACGTGAGGATCCATCCAAAATGTCTGAGGAAAAATTAATTTAGAGAAAACAGCCTTGAAAGATATGTACTATAGAATTACACACATTTTTCTGAAATGTTATGTTTAGATATTCAAACTACGCTTTATCTAATTGTACCTTTGGGTCTACAGACACAAATAGACAACGTGTAATAAGATCAACACCTAAATGTGTATTTGGATGTTTAGTCTGACAGAAAACATTCCTAATGTGCATCAAACTGATGATCGGATTGGATGAAAACCGTGTGTGTGTGTGGTAAGAAACTCTCACAGCGGAGCTCTACAGAGACACCAGAGGACTCGTGCTGGAGCAAACTATTTTCTTAACATACTGTTATGATAATTATGAAAAGGGCCTCTGATTTAAAGGGTCAGTTCACCAAAAATACTGAATCTACTGAATAAGAGTCATTGTTTATACAGGAAGTAGGCCCCATCATCACCGTGGCATCCAAGAGAACCCTGCTGCAGAGAACCACAGCCAGCTCAGAGAAATGACATCCTGTTCATGTTAAAGTTAACTCTCTGCCTGTTCGCATCACAGTCACCGTCGGTCATTATCCAGCATTCAACCCGTGGGACCAAAACCCAAATGCATCTCACTGGAGCGCCTCAGAGGGCCACCAGGCTTATGGTGCTCCAGCAGGAGCAAGCGTTGACTTCAGTGCCCTGCTCATGGGCACGGCGGTATGTGATACATTGTTGCTGTTAGAAAGTGACGGAATGTGGGGGAAGTTACGGTAAACTGTCAGTGGGTGGTGCTGTAAATCCACTCTTGGGTACCAAACAGCTGAATCGTCAGGTATGACGGTGCAATACATTGCGAATGAATAGCAAAATCAAGATATATGTTTTGAGGCAGATTTATTTTTGTCATTTTTATCTGTTTCTGCCTTTTAAAAGTAGCAGAAGAATAATGGTTTTATAATACGAATAATAAAGTTATGCTCTTTTTTTAATCAGTATGTTGAAGAAAGAAATGGATTTAAATTTTTAAAAAAATGTCGTGCAAGCACCACAACAGTACAATAAAACACTTGTCTTTTATGTAGTGTTTTATAATTTCATAGTTTTTATTATTATTGCTTAATATTACGTCTGATTTTAAACCGTGTCTTATCAGAATCAGAACCGTTTATTGCCAAGTACGTTACACCAGTGGTGGCCGTTGGATATGTGGCCGGTGCTCGTACTCAACACCTTCACTGTTCACTCTGAATGTGTAATAGTACTTTGACTATTGACATTGTGAGTGAATACTAATTATGAGTTAGTTTATAGTTTGGTGTATCTCTGATAAATACACAGATACACAAAGTATTCATTTCAAATTAATTTATTATGGATTGAACAGAACATATATATATATTAAAAAGCAAAGGGAGTAGAGAGTAACATCAGGGGTCCTCCTCATTTGTAGGTGGGCACCACGTATTTAATTTGTAGGAAGGCACCGATTCCTCCGTGGTGCTCAAACAGCTCCAGAGTCTCACGGAACAGTTCCCTGATGTCCTCGCCCCTCTGGCCGGACACGACATCTCCAGTGCCTGAGGACGAGGAAAACAAAGATATTTAGGCTCAGTCGGGGTCATCGCAGACTGTGAGCTTGATGTCATGTGGCCATCCTTCCATCTGACTTCAAATCCACCGGACGGACCGAAGTTCATTTTCTTCAACGCTGTGGTCAGTTGGGACTGGACGGCAGCAGTGTTTTTAAACTGTTCAGTTCAACTTACTGCTCTTTTCGTGGAACATTCTGAAAATGGGGAGGATTTGTCTGAAGTACGGCACCAGAGCCTCTCCCACTTTTTCACCGGACACCACCAGACGCTTCAGGACTCTGAGTGTGCTGCACATCACCGCATGGTTCCTCGTGTTCAGGGCCTCTGAAGAGCAGGACAGAAGGCCAGAGGTCAGTCAGAAATAAAGGGGCTACAAGGTAAAACTGTCCGTCCATTTTTAGATTCTGATTTGCAGGTTGTTTGTTCAGGCAGGTGGAGGTACAGTAAATGTGGAGTGGTTCTGACAACTGCAATGATATGGTACATAAGACAAATTACAAGTAACTCGCACACATACACTGCCTTCCCCTTGAAAGCATTTCCTTTATAGCTTGGCTTTGATTTAGACTGGCTTGTCTGCAATCAGTAATTTCAAATGCACTGCGGAGGCAGGAGTAAGTGAGAGCCAATCACAGGGCTATTTGGCCTACAGCTAATAAGGCTCCAGCTGGCTACACTATATAAGCAACTGTGAATGTCCTCTAGACTCGGGGTTCATCTGAGATCAGCAAACAAAATCACATTTTTCCCCTCAGTGTCAGAGGAACACAGTGAAGGTGAAATGATATCAACACACGCAGGGTCACTTGTGAAGGGAGCTGTGCCGTGTGTGATTTGTAAACCGTGAGAGGAGACGCCCGGGCCAGACTTACTCCTGATGGGGATGATGAGCTGGGGAATGACGGGCAGGATCCTAGGGCCCCCTTTCTCCAGCATCTCGTGGATTCCCTGAGAGGCGAAGAAGTTGAACGGATGACCTGTCTCAGTCAAGCCATCAAAGAACAAAGGCAGGTAGTAGTTGTAGTCCAGCTTGTCCAACGCCACCTGAGGACAGAAATTACATAAAACGACTAATCACATGTATCTCCTCGACTCAAACCGACACGGTTTCATAAAAAAACATTCCATTGACACTTGTTCTCAGTCAAAGTGTAAACCCACAGAAGCAATAAACTCTTCTTTTTTGGCAGACTTTAAAAATGACTCTCATGTGTGTAATGGGGGGAAACAATAAGCATAACAGCTGCACTGGAGATGACAACAATGGCAACAATTTCATACATCACATCCCATTTGCTGAGTGCTTTTTCATGTGCTCATCTGCAAACGCAAAGATTCATTTGAACATTTTACGTAAATAATTCATACAAAGAGAGTTTTGACAGTGTTTTCACCTGAAGACAGACAGCTAACTAGCGAGAATGCTCACTCACCTACCCACCTTTCCTTCTCTCTTTGAAGTAGGAAAAAGGGGAGGAAAAGGGTATAATTATTTAGATTCATTTGTCGTTGCTTACTATGAATAAATGTCATTAACAATCGTTGCTGCATGACGGTTGGGAAGTTATGAAATGGCAGGCAGCATGGTGGTGGCAGAAATAAAGCAACATGGTGATTAGAAGAATGCATCCATCCCACACTGTGCCAGTCAGGAGTCTAATGGCTCTGTGGAGGCTTGTGTATTGAAACACACATGCAGTACAGTACACAGAAATACACAACTACTCCCTGTGTTTTGCTGCGACTGCCTTGAGTTTCTATAGAGTTTGAGATTGATGGATTCTGTGATTGGTGCTGGGAGACAGGTGGAGGCCTACAAGTGAGCAAATCTACACTGCCTCCTAGAGGGTAACAGCCCACATTGGACCTGTGAATATGTGAGAAACTCATCGTCACCTTCAGCTGAGCCGATAATGATGACGATAAAAAAGGTGTTTGCACAGCACCTATCGAGTCTTCAAATTCACGAAAACTGCTTGACAGCAAGGGTGGATCCCAACAGTAGCTTGTGTACAAAAAGAAACATTTTGTGTACAATTGTAAATTTAAGAAAAAACATTTTCTTCATGGCCTGATTGATGTTTTTTTTCTTTGCAAACCTTTAAATTAAGCTATGGCTTTACATATGCGCCATAGGGCTTTTTTTGTGTTAATGAGTTTCTATCAACATTGCCATTATGACATACAATGTTTCTTGATGGCAAATATAGCACCCTGGCTTTTTTGTTAATGCTGTGAGAAAATCCCATATATTAGTTACTCTTTACCAGAGGGCAGCGATCCTACCTTCCAAAAGATACGGTAGCCTCTGCTGTTGTAGTCCATTTGGAGTGGGAGGTCCCCGCGGTCACACATCCTGCGAAAGGTGGACACTTTTGGAGGGCGCGGTTGAAAAGCCTTTGTAGACGGGGGACCCTCCTCCTGCTCAGACACAAAGGAGAAAATGGGAATGAAGAGACGGGTGGTCAGTTTGAAATGAAATTGAAATGCTGGCTGTGGTAACCTGAATGCGAGGAAAAAGCTAGCGGGTAACATGGCTGCAGTTAGCCACTAAATAGATACTAAATATGTGAACCTGTGTTTATAACTTCATAACTTCAAGCCGATTGTTTCAGAATAAAACTGTCCAATTTATAGCTAACATACATTGCTCAAGCTAAATTTAAGTTACAAATATCTACACTCACCTTCATGGCGGGCTTCAGGCTGAAGCCTTGTGTTTTTGTATCCTCCTTCCTCAACATATCCACAGGTACTCTGCTGTAAGTTAAATGATGAATCACAGCTGAAACTCAAGAACAATATTACAAACTAACTAATTGATAGTTTTCAAAACATAATGCTTCATATTGGTTGCTAGGAAACTTCAGAAATGCTGTTGCTAGGAAACTTCAGAAATGCTTTGGTTTGATTTCTGCAGGCACGCCTGTTTCCTGTTCCCAGACAAGGCACAAATGCCGGCCGGCGTCGCAAATGCCGCAAATGCCGCAACAAAACGCTAGGTGCCGCGAATGTCGCAAAAAAAACCGGTAGGCGCCACACCGTTTCCCTGCCAACGTGTTAGCTTATCTGGAGATCCACTCGCTACCAACCAGGAACACCGTTCATACAAATCCTTTTCCTGGCTGAGTCAGCCATTGAGTGTTAAAAAAAACAAAGCTAGGTAAGAAAATAAATAAACTACACCCAGCAAAACCCTAAAAATTTTATAATTTCTTCCATATCTTCAAATTTGAACTCTTACTACACCAACTAACAAGGCACTGGCACCGCAGTGGCTAGTCGGTGGTAAGCGTCAGTCAGGCATCAGTCTGACTAATTAACGCCTGACTAATTAATGAAACACCATACAAGATATAACCATAAGAAATTACAATGAAATAAGTTATATTATTCAGGCTTTTATTGTGGTTTCAAAAGCCAACCGGAAGTTCCGACACTACTGTCAGTGGCTAGCAGCTAAAGCTAAAATGGTTATCATCACATTCAAACGCTTATTTAACTTAACACATCAGTAAGCAGGCATCAAGTTATAGTTAGCGAGCGGTTGTGATATTTGTAGAAGATGTAACGTGTTATTTTCACGTTGGTCTCAATGGTGGATCTGTTGGGACTGTTTGTTATTGTTGACTAGCGTCTGTAGCTTAAGGGGGTTGTTAGCCGTTAGCTAAATCCTAGTGTCGGCAATTCTAGTGAACGTCAGTGGCTAGCTGGCTAATAACAGTTTCCTCAAAGGCTGAGGTGGTCGTTGACTGAGACATCACACTCAGAGGTGCAACTTTGGTTAACAAAACAATTAAACCATATCGCTAGGCACTTGATAATAATCTGAAACCTCTCGTGATCACAGAAAAGGCTTCAGGGACTTCCTCTGGATCTCCACCCCTCTGCACCGCTTCTTCCACACGTCACTACATCTGAGAAGATGCACCTGAGCGACACGAGTCCAGAGGTGAACCCCCACGAAGAACACAGACCACCTGGAACACAGGACCAGGATCACAGAGCAGCATCTACAGGTGAGTGTCTTGTTTCTTTTTTGTGGGAACACGTGCAAACCATAGAGATGTATAATCAAGATGAGAAAGACTTTGATCTTCTATGTTACTCAAGTTCTCAAGAGCCTTAAAATACAATCTTTACTTAGTTTCAAAGGAATCTACAGTTCATCAGGAAACTCACAGGCAGTGAGCCTGGAACAAAACATGCCAGCATCGCTTCTGACTTTTATATCTTGAAAGATTTAAGATAAAAGCTGACGCAGTACTATAGACATGGAGACATAATAGAGAATAATATGGAATAAACTTACAGTACATGATTATATTGCAGTAAAGATAACGTTTGTATGGTAGTTATATTAGAAAAGGGGTCATAAAAAACAAACTTGTTGCTTAAAGCTGCATTCATGAATATGTTTGCATTAACTATAGGGGTGACCCCAATTAAGAATGTACGAAGTTGAATATAATCGGTCAAGTGTCGCCTGTTTGCTACAGGTCGTTAAAATCATGTTTTCTAGCTCACTGATTAGTGAGTTAAGCTTTATGTTTTTACAGAAATATAGCAGAAACAGCAATTGTAGCAATCCACAGACAGAAGGGAAGCTAACAGGGAACAGCCAAAGAAACAGAGAGAGACTGTCTGCAGTGACAGGAATGCTAATGTTGCTCTTTTGTTTCTGCTGCCCCAATGTGACAAATCAGACCTGCTCCTATTTGAGAAGCTTTATAATTGTTCCTTAGAAGAGAATTACCATATGTTCACTACCTTGTGTGTGTGTGTTTTTCTTCTCTCTTTTTAGAAGAAACTTTAAGGCGGCCAGAACCTAAACACAGCAGCTCCCATGAACAGCCTCAGAAGAAGCCGTCGAAACAATGCCAGGGGCCTCGCAGACTCAAGAAGAAATACGACTGTCCGGCCTGCGGGAGAGTTTTCTCTAACAACACCGCTCTGCAGCGACACCTTGTGATTCACTCGGGGAAAAGGCCGTTTAAGTGCTTCATATGTGGGAGAGGATTCACGCAGCGTGGAAACCTCAAAACGCACATGAAAGTTCACAAAGGTCAGAGGCAACAACAAGTTCCTTTGTCTTTACTTCAAGGTTTTTTGAATGCCTCCGCGCTGCATTATGTTTTTAGGTTGTCCGTACGACCATTCTAGTGAACGTGATGTCTCGTGAACGCCTGGAGATGAACTTATTTGCTTTTGGAGGTCAAAGGTCTCCTCACAAAACGCATTGTTGGCCATAACTCAAGAATTCACATGCTAATTATGACAATTTTACTCAATTGTCTGATAGGATAACATGATGAAGTGAGGACATTTTGATGTAAACTGTAACTCGACTGGGTGGAGGAGGCATACAGCCACGAGGCGGTAACTCTAGCTGTAGAATGAGATACTTCAGCTCTGGTCATGTGTTTTCATTGAAATCTTAAAGGTGCTAAATTCGGTATTCAGAGCGCAGTGCAGAGCAGCGGCCATGAGCTAGCTAGTGGGGCACGCTAACATGCACTAAAAGGCCCAGCTATGTAAACAAAGCACAAAGAAGCTCGGATTACAACACACGCAGAGGGAGGGCGACTTCATTCTCTGCTCAGGTAGATATTACTCCACTTTATCTTTACATTAGTAGTTGTTTGCTGCTATTTCAATGCTCTGATTGTTGTATAGAAAACCTTTAATTTACTAATCTTAATTAGTTAAATTGTAATTTCCTGAATTGAATGACGGATAAGTCATGTAGATCTGATCTTGTGCCTCCACTACGGTCTTCTTATGCTGCAAAGTGTTTTTCATTTGTGTGTAAAAGCAATAAGTGGTTATTATTGTGGAACTAGTGTCGGCTTTGTCCTGAAGGGCTGGTCACCAAAAAAAGTGGCAAAGCAAAAATAATCCATGTCTTTGAGAAACATTTAGTTTACCTCAGTTGCTAAAGGGTTGAATGTTCACACGTTGTTTTCTTTAGATGAATGTGTACCATGTATTCCTTTCTCATAACTGTCTGCCAGTTGTTTAATGAAAGTGATGGTGCAACACGGCCTAAAGGCAAACAAATATACGTGATATGACTCAAGCTAATTCATGACCAAACTTTATAAATGCAGAACTTTAAGTGACTATAATTGTCTTTGTTTTTCTCACAGGAGAGTTACCAAATTGGACATTAGTTCAAGAGAAGAGCCCGCCTAAAGAGTCTCCTGCAACGGTTCATGTGTGTGGAGAGTGTGGCATGGACTTCCCTCAGAAACACCAGCTGGAGAAACACCACCAGAGTCACAAAAAGCCTTACGCGTGTCCCGACTGTGGCAAGACATTCAAAAACGAATATTATTTTAAAATACATAAGCGCATTCACTCTGGAGAGACGCCTTTCCTCTGTTCGGAGTGCGGGAAGAGTTGTGTCACAGCAGACTCGCTTAAAAAACACGAGTTGACGCACACTGGAGAAAAGAACTTCCGCTGCGATCAGTGCGGGAGGGCGTTTTCACAATCCTCCCACCTCAACGTGCACCTCAAGACTCACACCGGAGAGCGGCCTCACCTCTGCTCAATCTGCGGTAAAAGCTACTCCAAAGCATCCGTTCTGAAAGTTCACCTGCGAGTTCACACCGGAGAGAAACCGTATACTTGTGAGAAGTGTGGCAAGTGCTTCTATTACTCTCAAGGTTATCGAAAGCATCTGAAGATTCACGACAAGAAGCCAAAACCTCGAACAAAACCGCTGGGGAGACCAAAACAAAATAGTCAATAATGTAACCTGGGAATTCACAATAGTCTGAGAGGATATAAACTAAGGAAATACATTTCAGTTTGACCATATTTTTGTATACAAATTATGATTCTCAATCGTTTTGTCTCTATTCAAAAGCAGAAAATGTGAAATATCACATTGAACATGAACCAAGTGTTTATCCAACATGATAGCCTTCTTAACATCAGAGCGCTCTTGTTTCTTTATAGAAGACATTTAGCTTCCTCACTGCAGGAAAAGCACAGGAGGATGTCATAACATTAATTATGACACAATGCATCAGTCAATATAATAATGTTATTCCTCAGCCATGTTGTCCAGTTCTTCCAGGGGATCCTGAGACATCCCCTAGGCTGACAACTCCGATATGCTTGGAAAACCTTCAACAGGAGGCAACATCGGATCATCAAAAAAATAAAAAGTTTGGAACTTTTCTGCTGGTTTTGACTTTTTTGACCCAAAGGTATTGTCAGTTTACCTTTTCCCACCAAAGGATTGGCTTTTACAACACGTACACACAATAATAATAATAACAACATAGAAACACACACTGACTACTCTTTCCTTATTGATAATCTTAAGATAGAGGTGCAAGAAGTATCCTTGAATTCTTTAAAAAGTAGATGTACAATAGTCTAAAAAAATACTCACAATAATCATAAATAAAAGTACGGAATTCAAAATGTTACTTAAGTAAAAGTATATAAGTATTATCAACAAAAAGTAAAGGTACTCAAAATAAAGAATAGCTCCTTTCAAAGTGTTAAATTAATATAGAATATTAAATTCTTTTTTTTATCGCTAACATATATCTAAGAGCATTTAAATGCTGCAGTTCCTCAAATCAGAAAGTGCACTAGAAGTATAAAGTATTAGATACTCAAGTACAGAACAAGTATGTCAACATTGTACTTGTGCTTGAGCAAATATTCTTTGTTACTTTCCACTGCTGACACTGGATAATAATATACAGTACAACTGTAGGTAAGTATTGTATATAGAGTGTACTTTTGATAAATACACTTTGCTGGTACTCTTATAATGTGCTGTTTACATGCCAGATTTAATCAACCCGATTATAATAGTGGTTTAAAATATATTGATTTACTAATAGATTATGATTAAAGAACATAAGAGACTACAATACAATAAGTTATATTATTCGGGCTTTTATTGTGGTGTTAAAAGCCAACCGGAAGTTCCCCCACTACTGTAAGTGGCTAGCAGCTAAAGCTAGAAAGGTTATCATCAGAGCCAAACGCTTATTTAACTTAACTCATTACTTAGGTGCCAATATTTGACACATTGTTTGAACATAATCGAGCATGAAAATGAGAGAGAAGTAGAACATTTACCAAGTCGTTTCAATAAACTTCTGTCGAGCGACTACTTTTTGTTTTTACCTGAGGGGGGAAAATCAATGCTGAGGTTGGTCAAAATGTCTATTGTCTGTTGTTAAACGTTAGCTAGCTGAGTTAGCGAGTGGTTGTGATATTTGTAGAAGATGTAACGTGTTATTTTGACGTTGGTCTCAATGGTGAATCCGTCGGGACTGTTTGTTATTGTTGACTTGCGGCTTTAGCTTAAGGGGGTTGTGAACTGTTAGCTAATTGCTAGTGTCGGCAATGCTAGTGAACGTCAGTGGCTAGCAGGCTAATAACAGTTTCCTCCAAGGCTGAGGTGGTCGTTGACCAAAGCGCTGGTCATCGTCACTTCATTCAGAGGTCAAACACTAGTGTCTGTACTACCGGGTGCTCTTGATATGATGGCTGTGATTGTAACACACACCATGCTACAACAGGTTTTTGTCAATGAGGTTGCTGCTCAATTTAAACTACATTTAATGTGGGGGGGGGAGTTAAAAGGGATGGAGGAAAGATGAGTGTCATCAAGCTAATGCTACTGAGCTAACGTCAACTGCTCTGTGCAAGATGCACGAAGAAGAGGTTTCTAGTGCTTCCTCTTGACGTTCAACCACTTGAAAGCACAGTAACGTCAATTATGTTGACGGTATTATACACTATAACAGTTTCATTTAGCTGTACGGCAACATTTTAAGGAGAATTACATTTTTTTTTTAAGGTAGACTGCCCATCAGGCCTCAGCCAGGTTCAGTCCTGTTGTCACAACAAATCATCCGCCCTGCTGAAGTGTCCTTGGGCAGGGGGATGAATGTCTTCCTGGGCACTCTCATGTGGAGGGGACACACAAATACTTCCCCTAAAATAAATCTAGATCTAAATACAGTCAGTGAATGCGTTTTGTTTTAGGGGAATAAAATCTGCTCTGGATTTATCCACAGGCACCAAATGTTTCAAATACTTCTTTAATCCTAATTAATAGAACCTTGAATGTGATGTGTGGGTTATGTTAACAAGTTAAGGAAAGCGAAGTCTTATCTTTTTGGCTGTCAGATTTGTAAATGTAAATGTAGGCTTTGGTTTATGCTTGTAATAGTTGAAATCATTTGATCTGTAACAGGACTATGATTGACATATGCATCATTATTTAACGCAGAGAATGCATGTTAATATCGCAAATGACCCGAAACGCATTAGTCCACACAATACATGACAAGTGTCCCTGAATTCTTTTCTCATGTATTCAGTGATTTGCTATGAATTGAATTGTCGTTTACTGACTCTTGATTTTTTTCCACCTCTGCCAGGTTGAATATTTGAGAGATGGGCTCTGAAAACCCAGAGGTCTTCGGACCAGCTGTGATCCTCGCAGAGGAGGAACCGCAAGAAATTGGAGGCCTGATCAACTCTGACGGAGAAGAAGTGGATTTCTCAGATCTCAGTGAGCAAACGAATTAGAACAGCAAAGTGTACACTGAGTGACTTTGTATAGTGCAGTCCAATCGGACAGGCATGTCATAAATACTAACTTTGTCAAACTTAATATTTTGACACTGAACTTTTGTAGTTTGTGCTGTCGCTCTGTATATGTTAATGACGTTGCCGATATATTAGAAATACCTTCCAATATATTATAATATAAAGTGCAGGCTAAAAATTGATTCAGTACATTGACGTCTGAAGTAGTAAACAGTAGAACATTTAAAGTGAGGTTATATTTATTGTGGGACGTATTTATTGCATTGCAAAACATCCTACAGGTATTCCCCTGTAACATCTGGATTCAATTATCTGTAAATATGATTAATTAGGGAATTCACATTACAAAGACTTATGGCTGCATTAGTAATGATCTTAATACAGCAGTCTGTAACTTTGGCAGCAACAGCACACATAAACAAGGTAATATTAGATCTAAGATGGTAAAAATCTAAATATGGCAATGCTAATTTTACCTCCAGCTCTCTGCTGCGGAGGTCTAATGGTAGCGAGTTATTTGCACAACTGCCAAAAGTTTGACAGGCATGTTTAGATTTTCTCAGGAGCTAATTTAAATGATAAGATGTTGACTTGCTTTAAGTTTTAATTATATCAAAATGTTACACGTAGTCAGGATAAACATCCAGTGCCATCTATATGCATGCAAGTCCCTCCTTATTTGGTCTACTTCCTCTTCACAGTATAATATAACAGCCGATAACAAAGCTCCGCTAATTTGGTGATAAACTTATTTTTCTATAAGTTCTTCACAATAACAGTATTTAAAGGCTTTTATTTTGAAGCAGCAAAATCAGGAAATGTTGGGTTTTCATCAGCAGTAACTTGACTGAGACAGCAGGTGTCAGCTGTGCTCCAGCCTCAGTTTTCCTCCTCTTTTCCCTTTTGCTCTCCCTCGGGAAATAAAACTCCCGTCTGAGGGGGGGCATGTAAGGGCTGACAGGTCGGATCTCAATGCGAGCAAGATCCGAAAAAGACAAGTTTAACCAAGGCCTTCGATTAGGATGTGAATGCACGAAGGAACCTGAATGCACCACATCTGACGGCTTGCACACAGAAGAGATTTATGATCCCTCTTTTTCTGTCTCTTGATAATCAGTTCCATAATCGGCCTATAGTAAATCTTTTATTCTTTCAAATTTGTCAAATGTTCAATTTCGTGCCTTTGACATAATTCAATGACTCTAAATGAGTCTGCCTAAATAAATCCTCACCTTACTGACCTACAGTATGTCTGAACATCAGCGTCACTGTTCGTTGTGCTCGGGGACAAACTGCTTTGGAGCCGTTTCCTCAACAATTTTGTTTCCTTAATACAATTCTTTCCCATCTGTCTGTTCACACAGGAGAGAGCGCCATCCCTGGAACCGTGCCTGCAGATGCTCCCTCCAAGACTTTCGATCAGAGCGAGAATGAAAAACCGCCGTGTCTTCACAGCTGCTCAGTGTGCGGGAAAGACTTCCCTTACGCCTCCAAACTTCAGCGCCACTTACGCACTCACTCGGGAGAGCGGCCTTTCCCCTGCTCCATGTGCGAGAAGAGATTTCCAGAGAAGGGGCTGCTCATGATCCACGAGAGGACCCACACCGGGGAAAAGCCCTTCCCGTGCACTTTCTGCGAGAAAAGATTCGCCAGCCAGGGCGAGCTCCGGCTGCACCGGCGGACACACACCGGGGAGAGGCCGTATCACTGCTCCATCTGTCTGAAGAGCTTCTCCCGACACTGGCATTTGAAGACGCACTTAGAGGCGATGCACTCTGAGGTCGTCGCGGGCTTTACAAGGAAGAAGTTCCCGTGTTCGGACTGTGAGAAGAGCTGCAACTCAGCTGCTGAGCTGAGAGATCATCAGAGGACTCACACCGGAGAGAGGCCCTACCAGTGCTCCTTCTGCGACAAAAGGTTTGCCTTGTCGGGTACACTTGTGAGACACGAGCGCCTCCACACTGGCATTACGCCCTACCACTGCTCCGACTGCGGGAAGACATTTGCCCAGCAGTGGACGCTGACGACACACATGCGGACTCACACGGGAGAAAAACCCTACAGCTGCACGCAGTGCGATAAGTCCTTCGTAGCTCCAGGAGAGCTCCGGAGGCACACCAGGATCCACACGGGGGAGAAGCCGTACACGTGCAAGGACTGCGGGAGGCACTTCTCACTGGCAGGAACTCTGAGAAACCACAAAAGGTCGTGTACGCAGAACAAGAATGGAGCAGTTACAGATGTCGTCTTGGACACAGTTCCAGCTGCAGCTGGTGAATCATCGCAGCCGGACCTGGCCAACAACGTCAGCTCCGAGGTAGAATACACAGCGCCTTCAAAGTAGAATCCTTTTCCCTTTGATTGAGATGTTCAATGTTTATTCTTCTGCATTTATACAGTTCTTTACAACCGTTAACACCATTGTTTCCATTTGTTCTTATTTACCTGTCTTTATAGGTGTCGGTCAGTGAGAGTTTGACCAGTGCAGTTGAGCCCCCTCCCGCAGAGGGTCCTAACTGTGACAAAGCAGCTGAGTGTGAAAATAACCCGCAAGAACCAGAAGACCGAGCGGAGGACGTGGTTTCCAGTCCACTTATGAATGTAATAGTGAAAGAGGAGGAAGAAGAGGAGCCGTTGTGCGGTACGTGAACATGAGATTCCAGATATCCGTTCTTATATAATACAAGGAACGTGAATGCCTTCGATGATGATTTATGTATTGTTTCCTTTGTGTTGTGTAGAAGAAGCTCCTGGCCAGCTGTCCGGTAGTGAGGATTGCAGCGTGCGGGAGGAAACTGAAGAGCAGCATCAGGACAGCAACACAGAAATTCGGATTACAGTGAAGGAGGAAGAAGATGAACTTATTAACAGTAAGGACATTGTTTTACAGGAGTACAAATCTCTCTCACATTAGAAACAACGTTACTGTCTTTACTTCAGTCATTAACCGGGACCTCGTTCCACTGAATGACTGGATTAAAACATCACTCACTGGTTTCAGCCCACTTTTCTCTCATTTCACCCTTTTTTCATGTGTGCAGAGACTTCATCCACACGACACTGGGTAATTCTGAGGAATCAGCGTTTGTGTGTGGAAGTGCGGTGTGTTCACACTCGTGTTTTTAAGATTTCTGTTTCACTCTGAAACCCTGGAACAGGAACATGTTCACCACCCAGTTCAAGGCAACAGTTGTCTCTCTTTCTTAGAGGACACAAATATCTATTTTCAAAAAAGCTTTGTTCCTTCGTTTTCAGATGATCCCCTCCGGGTACTTTTAGGGAGTTAAATAGCTGAGTGAATGTGGGAAGGAGAGAAAAAGACACATTTTCAGATCTAGTTAGTTTAGTGACGACACATCGTGAGTGTACCCAACTTACCTAAAGATCACAGCAGCAGGCTTCTCGTTTCTTTTCCAGCTGTCATCAACAGATTTCATTAGCTGTACTTTAATTATGAGTCAAAACTAAACTCTTGTTTTCTTCGTCCGGTTAAAATGCTTTTTTAAAAGCTGCCTTTTTTGATACTGTGTTTGTCTCACAGCAGCGGTGGTTTCTTAGAGAAAGAACCATCACGCTCTACCTCTTTGATATTTGGAATGATAAAAGATGGACTGTGTCTCTTTCAGTTCACTCCGACTGACTCTTTGCTGTCTCTGACTGACTGCTTTGAAAATGAGAAGCCTGCACTTGTGGTTAGTGGTAATTTTGTGTTTCTTCTTTCGGCTCATTGGAATTTTACATGATCCATTGTTTTTTTTTTAAAATAATTTTCGATGATAAATTGGACAGAATAGTTGATTCTCTCCGGGACTAATCAGTGAACTGTGTAGCATTGCATATTGTTGTCCTTTGATGAGTCTATTTTGAATCGGTGGAATACTCCACTCAGGCCTTTGCTTCAGAGTGGACCCTTGTCTTGTTCTCATAGAGATGGCAGGAAAACGAATATTGCACCTGTGGACTTTTTTAAGGTTGTGACAGGTGTAGTGCTGTACAACATAGAGTATTTATATCGTCAGCGCCATGTTGACTTTCACAACAAACTCATCACCAAAGACTGACACGTTGCACTCAGGGATTTTTGAGTTAGTATCCGTTGAAATCGGCACTTAACAAATGTAATTAGCTTTCTTTCTTTATTGCTGCCTTTTGTGTTCAGTTCGATGTTCAGTTTGTTCAATAAAAGAATGTTAAAAATCTTCTTTTAAAATTCAACAAGCAGCAGAAAGACAGAAATGAGTACCCTTAAATATCTCTTTATTCATCGCCAGTAATATAATTAGCGCAATATTGCACATTGTCCTGTGAGCGGCCGGCCGTAGACAGGTGCCTGTCCATAGTGGAATGAGTCGGGTTGTACTTGCTGAACACAAACTCACTCCTTGGCCGGACGATAATGCTTACACAGCTCCTCCACCTCCTCAGCCGTCAGCATGTTGAGAGGCGCTCAGAGGCAAATCCAAACGCTCCCGATCTCGTATTTAGCACCTTTAACGACATCAAACCGACCGCTTACAAACTTTAACACAACTAGTGCAGAATAATCCAGGTCTCATTTATTCAGTTGTACGTGTATGATCAGTAATTCCCAAACATTTTCTGACTCACACGGATGACGAGCGTGCCTGCACAAGCGTGAGTTTGTTTTAACTAGAAGGTTTCAGCAAAGCTGATGTGTTTGGGGAGTAGTGAGCGTACGACTGGACAAATGAGACCTGGATTATCCTGCGCTAGTTTGTAAATGTGTGTGTAGTTGTAGTTTTGCTGTTGTTCCACGTGGCTCCTATTTACTTCAATTTAGCAAGACCTTGAAGGCATGCGAGAAAAACAATGTTTTCTTCAAGAATTCCAGGTAACTTGATGTAAGTAACTGATATACAGCTGGTCATTTTGTGGCTGGAGTATTCCTTCAACAAGCAAAAAGATTAATGAGTTTTTGGGGGGGGGGGTTTGTCTTCAGGGTCACTAAATGGCGTGTTTCATCTTGTCATCTTTGTTCCCACAGTGTCTGAAGGGGATCCCGATCACGTCTCTGACAGCGATAAAGACAGTCCTCCAGCCTCACCAGGGCAGGAACAGTGTAACGACAGTCTGACGAAGAGCTCCTACTGCTGCGGGCTCTGTGGAAGAGACTGTCACAAGATGTCTGCCCTCCAGATCCACATGCGGATTCACTCGGGAGAGAAACCCTACCAGTGCTCTCTGTGTGGCAAGCAGTTCACCCAGAAAGGTCAACTCAAGGGTCACCAGAAGGTCCACACGGGAGAGAAACCGTTCTGCTGCCCGGACTGCGGGAAGAGCTTCGCCCACTCGGGGGCCATGAACAGACACCGGCTCACACACACGGGGGAGAGGCCCTATCACTGCTCCGTGTGCGAAAGGAGCTTCAACCAGTCCGGCCGCTTGAGGGAGCACGAGAAGATCCACTTCGGGGAGAAGTTTGACTGTCCCGAGTGTGAAAAGAGTTTCACGCGAGCGTCGAGCCTCAAGAACCATTTCCGGCTCCACACGGGAGAGAGGCCGTACGCCTGCGACGTCTGCGGGAGAGGCTTCAGCCGCTCGCAGAGCCTCAGGCTCCACAAACGGAAACACGAGCAGACTCACCCCGAGGAGGAGTCGGCATTCGGCGCGAGGAGCGACGATTTATCACAAAGCGACGATAACTCTCCGATTAATATGTGTATAGCAGACAAAAATGAGTGATAAGGTATTCATATGAACCATAGAGAACAGTAGTCGTGTATATATATCTATACAAGATTTTAGGCAGTTAAACATGAACTGAAAGAGGGAGGGGGGGGGGAGTAAGGGACTACCTCAGTGGACAGACCGCCGTTAGAACTTTGCGTGGTCGCTCGCTAAAGAAGTATTGAAGCTAAAATATTGAACTCCCTGAAATGAATAAACAAATGTGTCAAATGATGTTCAGCAACTAAGAGTTTAACACAAAATGACCAAACAAATATAACACAACTTAGGTAAAATCTTGGAAACTGTTAAACGATAAATTTTAGAAGTCATATTTACTGTCTTTTATATATTAGTTGAATCAAGATATCACATTTATAGTATTTATTGTAGTACAAATGGGTCATTTAAGGTCTGTGATTTCACATTTGTCCAGGCAGTATTTGTCCTTTAAACTACTTATGTATGTGGAAATTGGATACGATGGCCAATGAGCAGTGAAAGAATCAGGTGAAACTGGAATTCATTCTGTGTGTATGATCTACTGAAATGTCTGACATATTTTAGCCAGTAATGAAGCAAGAGGATTGTGATATTCATCAGGGTTTTTTTTTTGTTTTTTTTGGCCAAGACCATTTTGCCTTAGTGGTGATGCATCTTTATCTCCATTATGAATGAGGTTCACCTGGTTTGGACAACTCTTAAAGGCCAACAACTGTTGTGAATAAAAGAATCATCCTAAAAGGCTGTGATGGAAAAGTGATGCCTCTGTCTAATGGTATGGGACATGTTGTACTGTACAATAAAAGTAAATAATACTTAGGACTGGCGTTGGGTGCAAATATGTGTACACAAAATGAATATTTGCTGCGGGTTTTCACTGAACTGCGCCTGAACGCATCATATTGTAACTGAACGGAACCTTCGTTCATATATATACGTGTATGTATATATATATATATATATACATAATTATGAGATACTAAGTCAGAAGATTAGTAAATTCGTATAAGTAAAGCGGAGGTAATGTGTATTATTTGGTGGTTTGGTAAAAAAGGTGGGACAGAGAGGAGAAAGGGAGACATTTATATCATATTCAAAAGAGTGTCGGATTGTATAGGTCTACAGTGTAAAACACCAAGGATCAAATATAGGTTAATGTGGTATGTGTGGTGTTTGTTGTTTTGTTTTGAGGGAAATATTGTAAATATAATTGTCTCATCCACACTCCGGAGCAGAAGGTGGCTGTAATGCCACAATAACCTGGATGCCAACCGCCGTAAAAGAAAAAGAAGAAGAAGAAGAAGAAGCAGAGGCTTCTAAACGGAAGTTCTCGAAATTACGAGGCGTAGTGAATGTGACATGGAGATAAACAGACGCACACTATGCAGATGTTTGCGGTTATCGACCTTACGGATTATTTAGCAAACGATACGTTTATTTAAAGGACAGATCTGCTCCGCACGCCGTATTGTTTTGTGTCTGTACGACTGAAATGGTTTCTAGGTAAGCAGTGTTTATGTTAACGCCATTGTTAGCTCACGTTAGCGCATGTTAGCTAAAGTTACACTGTTGTGAAAAGTTAGCTAACGCTAATTAACGTTACTATACTAACGTAACGTCAATTGTTACCTCTCAGGTGACTAGGAATTGTTTTCTCGTAACTAATGTCTTGTCAGCCAAAACTGCATTTTAATAAGCGGTCAAATGTTTCCCTGGTGAACTTTGACATTCACATGTTGTGTCCTAGGCATGGCTAGCTAAAGTTAGCTAGCTAAAGTTAGTTAGCTACAGCATAATGATCTTTGGACAAACTGTGCAACGTGCCTTATCAATATGGGCCTTCTTAAATAACAAAACGTTAAGTTACGTAACGTGAGCTGTCACGAGGGTGTTGTGTTTGAGGAACATATTAAGTCAACAACGTTTTGTCAAAAGTAACAGATAAGATATGTACTCACGTGTAAACTCCTCGAGACAAAGACTGTAATATCATCAAGTTATGATTATTAAAACACTTTGCACATTACTGACGGTGTTACATCTACGGCATCTTAATGTGTCCTTAAATGTTAAGTGTTGTGTGTGTTTTAACTCCAATGACCCTTAAGCAATGCTCCCATTTAATCCCTGACTTTACATTGTATTTATACTTTTACTGAAGTAAAATAAGTAATACCATAGTGTAAAATACTCTGTTGCCAGTAAAAGTCCTGCAATCGAAATTTTTTCTGAAGTAAAAAAAAATATTCACATTTAAATATACTTAAAGTACAAATGTTAAACGATTCACTCTGCAGAATGGCCCATTTCAGAGTAATATATATTATTTTACTGCATTATAACTATCAATGCACTAACATATAGATCCCTTTGATGTTGCGGCTGGTTAAAGTGGGGCTCATTTTTACTATATACTGCCAGGTAGCTTGTGAATTCCACCAAAGGATCAGTAAAGTTTTATCTTAATCCATATTCCTAATGTATCAAGTAAATGTAGTGGAGTAGAAGTAAAGTACCTCAAAATTGTCTTACACACATCTTCTCCCTCATTCCTCTGTTATAGAGTTCAAATTATCATCACTGTCAAATCAAATGTCACAGATTCTTCTGCTCACTCCTCCCACCAGCTCCAACCAGCAGGAAATGAGACGTAACCCTCTGGAACTGAACTTTCTTCTGCCGTCTCTCTTTCTTTCTCTCGTGTGTTCAGTCGCTCAGTTTGACGAACACACTCTCTCAGGATGGTGTCGTACAAGCGGCTGAACCCGGAAGATGTTCAGTTTTCCGGCGCAGTCTTGTCAGAAGAGCCTTGTCCTGTGCGTGAAGAAGTTCCAGTGAGTTCATATGTTTACCGCTCCCTTTGCCTACGACCTCCTGCAGTCAGCTTTTAAAGTGTATAATAATAATAATAATAATTGCAGCAGAATCTTCATGCTCTTTCTTCAGGCTGCCAGTTGTTTGGGATATTTTAGAATCTATGCATTAGTCTCATTATTTCTCTGTTTTTAGTCTTTAACGCGCTGCTATTGCTGCCTGTCTAATCCATTTATCTGTTTCAGTATAAAGGGACTAGTCTGGGTCCTCATGGTTGCTTCTCTGAACGTGTTGCTTATGTGATTCCCTTGTTGTGTTTCAAGGCTCCGGATCCAGAGGAAGCCTCCCTGCTTCCCCAAAGGCCACGGTGCTCCGTCACCACATGCCTCCTGGTGATTGGCGCCCTGCTGCTGCTCCTATGTGGAGGCTGGCTACTGGGCACCATGTTCTGGCTGCACCGTCCGTCCAACCAGCAGCCACGCCGGCCCCCGTCACCGGCCCCTGCGCAAACACCGGACTCTCAAGTAGAAACGGGAGTGAACGACACTGCAGCTGCCTCCCGCCGAGAGGCCTGCAGTTTAATCCCCGAGGCGTGGAGGTTTGACTGCTACCCCGAAAGAGCCGTGGTTGTGACCCGAGAGTTGTGTGAGGCGAGGAACTGTTGCTTCATCCCTGCGTCCGCTCCCTCCTCCTCCGCTGCTGCCCGCCCATCCGGGAGAAACGGCATCCCTTGGTGTTTCTATCCTCAGGATTTCCCTTCCTACTCGCTGGTGTCGATAAACGACACATCGCTGGGACAGAAAGGTACGCTGGTGAGGGAGGTGAAGACCTACTACCCTGCAGATATCCTCACTCTGGAGGTGGAGATACGTCATGAGACGGACACGCGGCTACGTGTCAGGGTGAGTGAGTGAGGGACTCGCATGAGCATTCAGTCATGTTTTACTCGGCATGCAGTTTCTGTTTTTTAATCAAGAGCTTTACTTTTTACATCTGTGGGGAGGACTTGTAGCACTATCAGTGATCTAGCATGTACATGTAATCATACTGATCAATTCTAAAACAATTTTCATCAAGGCGTAGTAGAATATTTTGTCATTTAAACAGTTTTTCATGCACATAAGCTCTGATATCGTGAAGAACCGCTGACCTTGCAGCTGCTTAAGTTTGCTGACAGTGTCAAAGTCTTAAAGTGCTTCCTGGAGTAAATTTAAAAAGTTAAAACTGCACTAAATCAATGTTTTTGTATAGATTAATTAATTAATTAATCAATATAAAAACATTTAAATGCCAAAAGGTCACTCCTAAACACACAAACAAGTGACTCTGCACTTCCCCTTTGCTCTGTGACAAAGTTAGTCACTAGCTCATAAAGAAAGTGGAGCATCTATGACCCAGTAACACTTAAAGGAGCTGGTATGAACCAACACTGATCTAAAACAAGTATCTAACTAGTTTAACCAATATCTACATAGGGAGCAGGTCCTCTCCACTGACTCCTCTATCGTGCGCCGCCATGTTGCTACAGAAGCCCAGAATGGACAAACCAAGCACTGGCTCTGAAGAAGGCCATTTGCCTTTTTGCTTTCGGCCACCCTAGAAGGTGTCCAATGACGCCTGCACACTTGGCACATGGGAGATGTTTCAGTTGGTAACTAGATGCCACAAAATCCAACACTGGCCGTTTAAGACTACTTGTGATGTTTTGTGAAATACCGCTGTAAATTCTCTGGTCTGTATATTAATAACGAACTTTTCCTCGTGTTTCCCAATCTAGATTACCGACCCCTCTAGTCCGAGGTTCGAGGTTCCGATCTCTGTTGCCGCTGCCGCCAAGAAGGCCGACAGTCCAGACTACATCGTGGAGCTTTCAAAGAGTCCGTTTGGTCTCATCGTGAAGAGGAGCTCCACAGGAGTAGTGCTGTAAGTCTGAGTGACGGAAGGCCGATGATCACGATCGCACTTCTATTGTTTACTAGAAACTCTCTGAAAGCACATTCTGTTGTGAAAATAATAATGATTAACACTCTTAGCACTGCCTCTCCTTTCAACTGCTCCCTGTTAGTCTCAACACCACAGTGGCTCCTCTCTTCTACGCGGATCAGTTCCTCCAGTTATCCACCTCCCTGCAGAGCCAGTTCATTTACGGCCTGGGTGAGCACCGCTCCACCTTCCTGCATGACCTGCACTGGAACACGCTCACCATGTGGGCCAGAGATGTGCCTCCTACGGTATGGAAAATCACGTTTTTGTCATTTTTTCTTTTTTTTTTTGTACAGCACTTTGAGCTACATAGTCTGTATGAAATGTGCTTTACTAATAATAATTATTATTATTATCATGTCCCAATACCTAGTATGTCAAATGCAGTATGCAAGAAATACCAGGATCTTCTATCTATACACCCGGAAGCATTTTGCAGCATGCAAGCCGGCTGGCTTTTCTGGCTCTTCTGACCCACAATCCTTTGCGCTGCTGATATATGAGAGAGTTCGAGGGGCCATGTTATGAAGAAGTATAAGTCCCAATTGAATGCATACTGCATGCAGCAGTACGTACTTTATTCGGGCAGCTTCAGTATGTACTAAAAGTAAAGATAGAAAGGATGCGATTTGGAACGCGTCTTTGGTGTCGTGATAAATAAATAGCTTTTAGCCGTCGTTAATTCTTTCATTCATCCTACATTGTAGGAGCAGACAAACCTGTACGGAGCTCATCCGTTCTACCTGGCGATGGAGGACGGAGGCACCGCGCACGGTTTCTTCCTGCTGAACAGCAACGCAATGGGTCAGTGTGCTAGTCGCCCCCGATACTTCCTCTCCAGGTTTCACCACGCGCAATGACGCACGTTAGCAGCTGATTCTGACAGTGTTCATTTAAAGAACCATTAAGCAACTTTATGAAAACAGAAGTCTCTGAATGGTTTGTACAGTCAGCAGTGTCAGTAAATATCTTTCCAGTGTTAGGTGAAGAGGTCATTTAGGGCTCATGTTGCTCACTCAAAGGTTGAATTTGTTCACAAACTAGTTACTCCTAATACCCCATCTTTATCTCTTCGCTCTTTAGTGTCATAGACATGCTCTCGCTGTCCTAATAGCTTACTCTGCAGGATTCTCTTACAAATGTTTCATCAGCAGTTTTTCCTGTTTGCTCAGATGTGGCCCTCCAGCCCGCCCCGGCCCTCACCTGGCGCACTATTGGTGGAATCCTTGACTTTTACGTTTTCCTCGGTCCTGATCCTGCTTCCGTGATTGGACAGTATGTGGAGGTCGTAGGTCAGTAGGAGTCTGCTGGGATGTGGGTTGTTTGTGCTTTTGTGTGAAACCTTTAATGCTGCTGTCTTGGATAAGAATAAAAAAGACATTTAAAACCTCAGTGGGTCACTGCTGGAGAAATTAAGGTTAAAAATCAAAAACAAACCTGTCTTACAGAATATATTTTACAACCGTTACTCACTGAGAGAGTTCCGGATTTCAGTACCTCTGATGGACTTTGCATCATATTACTGGATGAATAAAACGGCCAGAATCGAAAAATAGAAATTCAATAAAACTATAAAAAAAAATGCATTTTTTTGAAAATATATACAAAAATAGATTCAAAGGGATGTCAACGTTCACATCATTAAGGATACAATAATTGGAAAATATTCATCTTTATGGACTTCTATGTCCATAAAGATGTAACGCAGTACGGATGTGACCTCTCCTCGTCCCTCCACCTCTTCACAGGATACCCGACGATGCCCGTCTACTGGGCTTTAGGCTACCATCTCTGTCGCTGGGGTTACAAAACCAGCAATTCCACCTGGGAGGTTGTCAAGAGCTTGAGGAATTATGGGATACCTCAGGTACAGTTGAGCCAGCAGACTGTTTGTTCGTTTGTGTGTCAGTATTCATTTGTTTCTCGTTCTTTTGTTAAAATCGATACTGGTGTGTTGACTTGTTCACAGGACGTCCAGTGGAACGATATCGACTACATGGACCAATTCCTGGACTTTACTTTTGACCCGACAAAGTTCGGCACGCTGCCGGATCTGGTCAAGGACCTGCACGCTCACGACCAGCGCTACGTCATGATCCTGGTACACTGGAGTTTGTATTTGCTTTAATACGTGTCGTCTGATTTGGAGTGTTTGTATGACGGTTGTGTCTCGGACCTGCAGGACCCGGGTATCAGCAGCTCGCAGCCCGAGGGCTCCTACTGGCCGTACGACGAAGGGCTGAGGAGAAACGTTTTTATTAAAGACGCCGAAGGGAAAACACTCATTGGGAAGGTGAGACCCTGTAATGATGTTGCACATATGAGGCTAACCCAACACGCATTTACTACACAAAGGTTATGGGTGCATTAGAAATACGATTGTCCATCTCTTCCTCCAGGTGTGGCCTGGTCTGACAGCATATCCTGATTTCTCTGATGATGTGACGCATGAATGGTGGTACGACAACCTCCAGAGGTTCCACCAGAAGGTGCCATTTGATGGATTATGGATCGTAAGTATGGGAAGAACTGACTCTCTCCACTTCACGATACATATCTTCTCCCTGACCTTCGTCTCTTTTTTTTTTTTTTTTTTTAAGGACATGAATGAGCCGTCAAATTTCCTGGACGGGTCCACCAATGGCTGTCCATCAAACAGTCTTGAAAATCCTCCTTACACACCCGGTGAGAGATCTCAAGCACAAATCTCACAACAAACACGACATATGCACAATGACACACTGCCTGTGATTGTCAAAATGTTGTGTCTTTCTCCCTTTTTAGGTATACTTGGAGGTCTGCTGAGAGCTAAAACTGTGTGTGCCACCGCACAGCAGAAGCAGTCCGTCCACTATAACATGCACAGCCTCTATGGACTAATGGAAGCTAAGGCGTCTGCAAGGTCAAGACCTATAACGACACATAGACACACGACAAAGATAAAACGCTGAACGACTTCTTTGTTACGTGGTCCTTTCCTTAAATCCCCTGCCTCTCCGCTGTCTTTGCTTGTTTTGTGTCCAGCGCTCTGAAGCGGATCCTGGCAAAGAGACCGTTTGTAATCTCTCGCTCCACCTTCCCCAGTCAGGGGATGTTCTCTGGTCACTGGCTGGGAGACAACAGGAGCCAGTGGAAAGATCTGTACTCTTCGATCGCAGGTGAGACGCATGGGTTGCACCTTTTTACAGCTATATAAATCAACTTTTAATGGATATATAGTTTGAAGCTTGGAAGCTTCATTCGTAACGTTGACATTCAGATTCTGAACAAATATTGGAATGCTGTGCCGTTTTTTTTTATTTTTTTTAATTTTTTTTTTTTATTTTTTTTTTTTTCTTTCTTTTGCATGCCTCTTTAGCTGTTTGTTTATTTAATGTTTAATGGTTCCAGCGACAGCAGTCTACTATATACTCACTGCTTACTAATGCCCGACAGGTGAAGTTAGCAGCTCCCTGGTGAGGAAAGCAGAAGCTAGCTAAGGAGCTAAAGCTAAAGACCCACTCAGATACATTTTCACAGAAGTTGGGGAGATCAATACAGAGTTAGAGCTGTCTGTGGTTTCACATGTTTTATTGCACACACTACTCTGTACTGAGGATGAAGAGTAGCACTCTCCTCATCATTTAAGTGTCTTTATCTTTCTCAAGTTTTTCCCCTCCATGTCCTCCCGATGTTGCTCACCTTCTCTCTTTTTTCTCCTTCAGGGATCTTGACCTTTAACCTTCTTGGCATCCCGTTGGTGGGAGCAGATATCTGCGGCTTCAGCAAGGAGCCAGAGGAGGAGCTCTGTGTCCGCTGGACGCAGCTGGGAGCTTTCTATCCCTTCACGCGCAACCACAACGCCATCGACATGGAGGTAAGAGCTTAATATCACAGCTCCAAAAGTCGAGAGCTGGTCCGTCCTTCGGTCCCTGTTTAAGAAGTGCTGCTTTGTTTTGTTGTTTCATTTACAGCCTCAAGACCCGACAGCGTTCAGCCCTCTGGCTCGTACAGCCATGAAGCAGGCTCTGCTGCTGCGGTATTCCCTCTTCCCCATCCTGTACACTCTCTTCCATCATGCGCATGTACACGGACACACTGTCGCACGGCCCTTAATGTTTGAGTAAGTATTTGATTTTCTTTATTTTGTCTGGACTGGGAGCATCGTTGCCTCACTGTAAATGTCCCTGTGCGCTCTCCAAAGGTTCCCGAAAGACGTGAGAACATATGGGATTGACAAACAGTTCTTGTGGGGGAAGAGTTTATTGGTGACACCAGTATTGGATCCGGGAGTCGACTATGTGGACGGTTACTTCCCAGAGGGTCTGTGGTACGACTACTACACGGTAAGACCCGCACTCCCTCAACACTCAGGCCGACTCGCGCCTCTCACAACCGACACCTGAGCATTTATACTTTGCCACATGGATGACTGCAAACAGACGGTTTCTTTTGTGAATCGGACCCGGCATATAGCGGTTGCAAATCCACCTCGATTCGTGGCGCTATCAGCGACCGCTATCCATTCTTTGTGCCTTCGCACCACAGAGTACACGGTGTTGTATGAGTCAGGAACAAAATGGTGTAAACAGTTTACTTATGAGCGCTGGTGATGGTCTACTTCCCAGGGCGACTCTCTGCGCAGTAAGGGTGAAGACCTTCGACTTCACGCCCCTCTAGATAAGATCAACCTGCATTTGCGCGAGGGCTCTATAACACCAACACAGGTAAATATATCCTTTTATTTATATACAGTGTTAGATGATCTGTTTAGCATACACTGTATGTTTGTTTCATGAGCTGAAGTTTTGCGATTTCTACATCGTTGTGGTTTTGACCTTTTTCTGTGGATCTGACTAATCAAACCTTACAATCACAAGTCTGTAACGTCACATTCGTTTGTCTTCTCTCCTCGTTCGCGTGTACAGGCGCCCAACCTGACGCTGTGGGTGAGCAGCGGTCAGCCTCTCCATCTGGTCTCGGCTCTCTCCGACGGCGGCTCAGCCAGCGGAGATCTGTACTGGGACGACGGAGAGAGCATCGACACCTACGAGAACGACCTGTACTCCTACATCGTCTTCGACGTCGCTCAGGTGCCCACGCTGTTGGAAAACCTCCACAAACTGCGTCTGTAGTTGTTTGATTGAGCTCAAGGTTGTGTGCGTGTGTGTCGATGAAGAGAAAGTTACTGAAAGCACAACATACTTTGTAGCAGCAGTGCATTCTGGTCCGCTAAGGTCTCATTGATGCCCATTGTTGTTAGAAAATTGCGTGATAAAATCTGTTGTGGGACGTAAAACCAAAACAATACGCTGAGGGGAATAATTATCTGTGGTTTGATCACTACAAGCCGAAGTAAAATAAGAATAATTGCTTCTTGCGGCTTCAGCGTCGCGATGTAACTCACCCGGCCGTGTCCATCTGCTCGTTTTCATAGAACGCGATGACATCACAGGTGCTGCATAGCAATGTGGAGGCCACGTACATCACCGTGGAGACGGCCTCCTTCTACGGTGTGAAGCAGGAGCCGAGCAGAGTGCTGGTGAACTCCCAGGATGCAGCGTTCATGTACAGACCCAACCAGGTGAGGGTCAGGGGGGGGGGGGGTAAACGACCTGGAAACTGTGGTCGTGCTTGATGTTCACGTGGAGTCGTGAAGTGGTAGACGTCCCTGGTGACTCATCGTGTGGGGATCTAACAGGGGTGTGGTTTCTCCAGATTTTCTGAGATTGAATCATGTAGATCCGTTTTACTCCCTGGGGAGAGGAACTCCAATGTTATTTATTTAGCCCTATATCCCAAATCCCTATTTTCCTTAAGGGGCTTTACAATCTGTACAGCACACACCTTTACGCCTCAGCAGTGGTTGAAGTATTAATATCATTTACTGAAGTAAACACAAGTTAAAAGCCCGGCATTCAAGATGGTACTTAAGTAAAAGTACTCATGCAGAATGGTCCATGTCAGTGCTATATTATTGGATCATTATTGTTCACACATGAATGCAGTACTTAAATGTTGTAATTTTATTTATTTTATAACCTACTTTTTTATGCAAAATCCTAATCTGAAAAGTAAGTATAACTGGTAAATAAAAGGAGTAAGAACGTGAAATATAGTGAAGTATTAAGCATGAAATGGGAAAACAAGAAGTATATTAACGGTACTTGTGGGGGGGGAAATGTACTGGGTTACTTTCTACCACTGTGTGACAGCACTGGTGTTTTAATACAGAGTGCTGAATCCACAGAGCTGCAGCAGGCGAGTGTCGCGTACCTTCGATATTCCTCTTCTGCACTCCATGAGTTTAGATTAATGTGTTTTATTTGTTTTTATCAGAATGGAGAAACTCTTCATGCTGAAATGATGTGTTTTCTCTCTGCAGGTGTTGACAGTTGCAGATCTCGGTCTCAATCTCAGTCAGAACTTCACCATCAGCTGGATGTGATGAATCGGATGTTTTTATGCACACGGTGCAGTCTTGATGTTTTGTCTCTGTGGTCTTAAAGCGAACAATAACTGAGGTTAACGTGCTCATTTTCACATTTTGTTTTGGGTGATCGGTGTAGGACTCGTAGACCTTTTTTAACCCGCGGGGACTCTGCGTACAGAAGAGCTAACGGTTCCCAACTGTCCATCCGATGTGGTTGAAAACACCCTCAAATTAAAGCTGAGAGTCAGCACTTTACTCTGTTATTGTTGCGTTTCGTATCTAATGTGCTGGAGTACAGAAACATTAAAAGCTATCCTTTTTTTTTAGAAAAGATGAACAGATAAACGGGTACTCTGGAGTGAGTCAAGTCAAGTTTGTGTTCATCATATTTCTCAAAAACAAATGCACCAATACACATGAAGACTCATGAAAGTACAACACACACGACCACCGACCTACAGTAGTCTGGACACTGCTTTAAATATCCGTGTGCAAAATCTAATTTAATGCCTGATAACTTATCGCTGAACCGTCATCGGATTTCAACAAAAAGCTTGTGTTGGTGCCTTTTTTTTAGTTTTATTTCAGTTCATGAGTCAAATCTGAACTTTATTATTTTTTTAATTCTCATCAGCAGTACGGTTTTGTGCAATAAGTGAAACAGGATGAGTCTGAACATTGGTCAGGATGTAATGCGTTGTATGTGCTTCAATGCTATTTACAGCTTATGTTTGCACTAATTAGTACTGCAGTGCTGTAAAGGAAGAAACAGGTGCCGTATGATTCCTGTTTGTGTGTCTCCGGGTTTGTACCAAATGATCCTTTTTGTTCAGTGTTCTATTGTAAGCCTGTAACGCGGATGACCACAGTACTGCTATGCTCGAGGATTACTTTAATGCACAACTCCAGTACGCTACACCAGCCATATGTGTCTCCTGCAATCATTTCACTGTGAATTCTCTTGTTTTCTTCTGACGGCAGAATGTAACTAAAACCTGAAGCGAAGTTCATTTATTCTGCTTGAATTTGACCGTGAAGCTGTGAACATCTGATTTGAATTCGTAGTAACTCACAGAAGAGCAGCCCTGAGCGCCGTCGACGCACGTGTGTTGTGACGCAAAACGGAGCACATTTTACTGTCTTTTGCGTTAAGGTTACTGAAATGAAAAAAAGTGCAGTATTTTATCATTCATTGTGTTTAATTTTTGTGTAATTGCTTGAATTTAATTATAAGAACAATATGAAAATGTCTGGAGTTTTGCTGGATTTGTTTTTTTCTATTTCATGACAAGCATCTTTTTGTGGCAACAATAAAAAAAGGATAAGTTTATTCAATTTGAATACATTTTATTTATTACATTTTTTTTTTTTTTTATCTTGCCTGCATTTGAATTTGCACCTTGAGGTGCTGGAGCACATGTGCCACTAGAGGACACACTTTCTCAATGCTGTGGTGAGTGTTTCACTCATTCCTCATAACAGATTCTGTTGTTTTCCGGATGTCATTTGTTATACATTTTCAGTTTAACTTATTTGAATTGTTTTCAGGTTTTAACTCAAAAAGTAGGAGCTTCAAACTTAACAAAATCTCTTCCCTGTCTCTACAACTCTGGTCAAATCATAGTTGAACGAGATATTTAGGTCCAACGTAACCAAGAGAGGGTTACATGCAGTTTTACTGTAGCAATAAGATATGACTGTCTTATCTTTTAATACTTATTGTTCTGAGTGAATTACAGCCTTTGAAGACGGAGAAACTGCAAGATGTGAGGTTAATGTTTACCTTATTTATCTAAACTGTTATGAAGGTAGAAATCCTCGTCTGCGTTGGCTCAAATGAAAAGAAACGCATCTAATATTAATATATTTTAAATGTGACATCTTTACTGCATCATTAATTCTAACGGTACTTTTATTTTAATCACATCTTCTGTCAGTATTTCCCTTTAATCAGCTCTGCAGTCTTTCTTTCTCTTTCTCTCTGAGTATTTCAGTCTCCCCCATTCTAAACCCAGCAGCTTTGTTCTGCGGATAGAAGAGTCTCAGGATGTCTGGTATTAAGATACGAGGGGTCATCTGAGGACTGAGCTGAATTAGCTTGTTTCTGGAAAAAAAAGTCTTTTCCCATAATTAACATCTAGAATGTGGTGCACGCCCTCCATAGACGTTAATCTCATGACACCAAACAAGTATCTGATTGTCCCCAACAAACGCACTTATCGGCAACAGAAAGGGAAAGCGGAGACAACTTGTGTTCTATTCCCCCTCTGATAGCCGGGTTGAATCCTCCTCCACTGCTGATAGACGTGTTTTTATTGGCTCTGTGCAAACGTTCACAGGCTAACTGTTTCCAGATGGTTGGTAGAGGGCACATATATCATTCTGCAGAGGGGGGAGGAGAGAGAGAGAGGGAGGGAGAAAAAAAAAAAAAAAGAGCAGCGGGGGTCTGTCAAAAGCATTCTGCTCTACTGACGAGGGCATTTCCTGTCTGGATTTGGGAGGATTAAGTATTTGTGCGTGGGGGGTGTTTGTATGGTCGGCATGCAGAGAGAGGGACAAAGTACGGGACTCTTTTCGGGGATCGTGCACATGTTTGATTTGACTCCTAATGCATGTGGGAGGAATGGGAACAGATCTGTGAAAGCAAAAAAAGGGATGTAGCGTCAGGGTTTACACATTTTTAGGAAAAACAGAACATTGTTAATGTTTCAGTCTGGGCTTTCTAAGGTGTTCTCATGTTTATGTAGCACAGTTCATAGTGAAAGCTTCACAAAAAAACAAATCTGTTACGTATTAACTGAAAACTATTTCATTTAATGGTTTTGGACGAATGGGTATTGTGCAAGAGAGTCTGGAGGGGTCATGAAAAATATCTAAAAGCAGCATCATTGTTCGATTGTTAAACTTTCCTTTTCTGTCTGGGTGTTTTTTTCAAACTGACAAAAACAGTGCAACAAAAACACGTTACAGCTCTTCTAACGGTTATATTCACTTATAATCATCTCAAGACATCCAGTTTTGTAAATCCAGAGTCGAGTCCTGACTACCTTGAGGATCACTTTGGACTTAAATTCAGGTTTGTGGTTAGAGTTTTAGGTATCGGTAATAATTAAGTGAAGAAATGTCATGCATGGACATATACAAGTCAAAATAGTGCATGTGGGGAAATGGGGGAAGACTCCTTTTCAAGTATTCTGCAGGTTGCTCAGTCAGTGTTACACTCGGTAGTCTGTATTGGGCCTCCACACCTACAGCTTCCACAAAGGTGTGGTGAGACATGAACTAGCTAAATATTTACCCTGTTATCAAATTAACTTTTCTCAGTCTTCCTTTCTATTTGCTCTCCTCGCTTTGGTTTAACTAAATCAGTGTGTGTGTGTGTGTGTGTGTGTGTGTGTGTTTGTCTTTCCGCTTTGCAAACTAAACCCCTTAATTAATCATCGTCTTCTAAATACAGAATCGCATCCTGGTTTAAAAGTCCAATAAGTCAATGTAACTGCTCCTCGAACATCTGGCAGATGAGCAACATCTGACTGAGAATGACACGAGGGTCACTTGATGAGTGTAAATATAGAAAAAAATAGTTTGACCCCTGACATAGAGAGGGAAATGATGATCCATAACAAGTGGAGTGATATGTGATTTTAGAAAATGTCACAAGAGCTAAGAGCCACACCCAGGAGCCTATATCTCCTGCACACTCCATTTGAAATTGCCCAGGAGTGCGCCTCTACATCACAGCGGCAAGGTGGGGAAAAAAAAAAAAAGAGGTAAAAGATTCTAAAAAGCTTCGTAGAGCTGAAGGGAACTGAAAGGTTGGGTGATAATTATCTGTAGGTTCACAACTACGAGTTATGACAAAGTTTCAGTTCAGCTTTAAACAGAGTTATGGTAATAAATTAATTTAATTGCTTTGGCACCACCAGGTAAATGCATGAACTATGTTGAATCAATGTTTTCAAGTTGACTAAACTTGCTCAAGAGTGATGGCAATTTATTTAAAATAGGCACCACCTACAATAAATAGGCAGCCAATCACTAGAAAATGAGATAGACCATCAGAAAACAAACGGCATTTTTTTGGCGGATATTGAAATATGGATCTAATTTGCTTAAGCAACGTTGTGGTATATTAATTAAGCGGTGGGAATAGGTGACGTGTACATGACACAGGTGTGGTTGTGGTGATTTATAAATGGACACTGTATGTATTGTAATATAACTGTGGCCTGTTACCTAATCTATATGAAATCTGCAGATCATTCTGCTTACGAACAAGACACACAAACAGGAAGAGAAAGCAACATTTCTCTGCAGTGAAGACGGTGGTGCAATGCACAGAAAGGCTGAGTCTGCGCAACAAAGCTGCTGCTGCTGCTGCTTGCTGAACAGAGCGCATGTGCAGGTGTCAGGTAACCTTAAGATACACACACCCAGCAGACAGGACAGGACAGGCCACCTTACTAAAGCAACAACCACACCTGGTTAACTGGTGGCACCGTTTACAGTAATAGCTCCATATTATAACCTTTAAATCAATGTTACATGTTCCTTTAATATAAAATGTAAATGTGTGACGGTAACTTAGCTACTATGAGGTGATTCATGAGGGGAAGAGCCTCAGTTTAGTTTCTGGGTGGGTTTTTGAGGTGGAGTCGACATGATGACATAATTGCACCCAATGTATGTGGTGAGTTTTTTTATTTTCAGGCAGCTGACTGACTGACTGGTGTTTGTTTGAGTTGCTTTAACATCTTAAATGTACCAAAGTAAAATACAAAAGAAGACTTTCCAACAGGACTGTAGTCGCTTCCTGGCAACAAGAATATATATACATATTATGTAAAATTTAAAAATAATAATTTGGTGGCTAAAAATGTCCTATTAATAACTTGGACTAATGAACTCTTATCTCACACGAGCACACACACACACTGACAGAGAAAGAAGGAACACAAAGGAGGACTGAACTCCACCCATGACGCGTCACTAACTACCTTTCACAGGTGTCACTTCCAGTTTCTTCACATTCTCTCAGTCGATAGAGGTGATTCCCACAGGCACGCACACTCACTCATGCAGTGTCCTACAGTCTCTCATTTCCTGGATCCAGCGCGTCCGAGCTGCTGTGGAAACTTTCAGAAGTTTTGTTGTTGAGAGGGAGGACGTGAATAGGGGAGGGGGGGGGATCTCTGGGAGCCTACTGCGGCGTTTGCTGCGCTCACACGCAGATCGGTTCGGTGTCTGAGCTCCGGGGATGTCGGCCGTGAAGGCGCTGCAGCAGTGGTGCCGGGTCCGGTGTGACGGCTACCGGGACGTGTCCATCACCAACATGACCACGTCCTTCAGGAACGGAATGGCTTTCTGCGCCCTCATCCACAAGCACAGACCCGATCTCATGTGAGTAGACTCAGACCACCCGAGGACTGGGTGGCGTTTTTTGTCAGTTCGTGCTGCTTGTGTCCTGTCTGTTTCTGACATAAGCTGTTTAGAGAAGACGTACTCTTGTCGTTTTGCAGTTATGAAAGGGACGAGAGAAACTTCATGTGGGGCTGCAGGAAAAACCGGAGCAGGAGCTGAGCTGAGGAGCTCAGTGTCTGCAGAGTCTGCCTGTATTTACATTAGGCCGGGGCTTTATTTTCCTTTACAGTTGACCTACTAAAGTGATCATCTGTGCAATCCTGCTACTCAGTGTTTATGTTATATAGAGTGCAGATCTGGAGACTTAAAGGACTTTAGTCTTGACGCCCTTCATGACCTGAATCTAGACTAAAGGAAGCAACATGAAGGTCTCAGGGTTTGACCTGATAGAATCTTGGATCTTAAAAAAAGCAGAAAAGCCTATGGAATCAAATAATGGCAATGAAAAGATTTGACTTTGAAAGCTGTCAATCTGAATTTATGTGGACTGATCTGCTTCGTCACACTACAATTTAAATACAAAGTCTAAGTCTGTTTCCATCGTCACCTCACGTCTTTTAACTGTTGTTGGCCTGTACATTCATTCTCAAGCAATGTAGAAAAACACTTTACTTTTACCATGTTTCACATTAGTAATAACATAATTTAGTCATAGGCCTATGCTTGCTAAAATAGTTGGGCAGAACTGTAAGTAAATACATAAAACATGTAAAACCGATACAAGATGAAATAGTTGAAAAAAGTTTAAAATTCAATAAAAAAGAAGGTGGGTGGGGGTTGTAATGATGCCTTTAGAGTCAAACACACACATTCATCACAGAACGATACATTTTATACACACAAACACATGTTAAAAAGCACTATTGTTTAAATGCAAATCATTTAAAAGAATTGCAGAAAGGCCTCTGGAGCTTTCCAGTCTATTCAAATGCAAATGTGTTGGTCAGCTATCCCAGACTTTTTCTCAGCCCCTAACGCCTCCTTTGTAAATCTTTGTTCTTGTATTCATCTTAAAGTTGCACAATCCTCTGGCCTGCGTAAGATGCTGCAACTAATGATGTTCAACATCACTGAATGATCTCTTGAGTCACTTTTAGGTGACGTTTGTCTTTGTTTAGTCAGAAAACAGTGAAAGATGCCCGTCACAAGTTGACTGTAGTAGCTTGTTGTGATGTCTTCATATTGTTTGTTGTGTCCGGTCAGCAGTGCAATACCCAAAGAAATGTAATATACAATAATTATAGGAGCATGACTGGGATCTCAAACAGTCCGTCTGTGTGTCAAAGATCATTTTCAGTTCGAGGCCTTGATCAAGTGAAAGTAAAAAGGTCGTCTCCTTTGTGTTTTCCCGGGACTTTTTGACAACTACCAGAGAATTTCCACCCGGGAATATTTGTTGATATTTGTCACTCGACAGCTGCAAAGTGTTTTGTCGTGAATGAGATCCGTCCAGGTTACGCTTTGGTTTAAATATTCCAAAGACCCGACTCACCATCTCTAGTGGAGCGTTGCCCAGTTTCACACACAGACGCCTGTTTATCATCCAGAGAAGCCATTACTGCAGGAAGACAAGTAGTTTCATTTTAGGAAGAGATGCGTCTCTGCTTTGCTTTCCTGAATGTAGACATTTCCATGCTTCTGAAGAATGCAGGCTGACATGAGACCATGTGTCACCACCGCGGCCGTGTAATGAATTGATACGTCCGACTGTCTGTGTCATGGTACATGTCGATGTGACGGGCTGCGCCTGACTAAACGACACATGTTTAGGTCCAGACTGTAAACAAACCAATGAGGAAGGGAAGTTGGATAACGTGTTACTCATTTTTCCTTCTTCCTCTGTTGCAGCAACTTTGATTCACTGAAGAAGGAAGATGTTTATGAGAACAACAAACTGGTGAGACATGTTTACGTTCTGCATTTTGACATCTGAATGTTTCCCACACATGTTTATTCGGACAAACTCATGATTCCTGAGTCCACACTCGCGGCTTTAGTCTACAGACCAGATGATTAATCGTACTGATTTAGAGGTTCCCTGCCCTACCTATGGTTTCACTCAGGCAGAAGTCAATGCAGAAGTGCTTTAAACTTGCATTCTCTCTAATGGCCATTAGGGGGCGACTCCTCTGGTTGCAAAAATAAATCAGATTGTATAGAAGTCTATGAGAAAATGACCCTACTTCTCACTTGATTTATTACCTCAGTAAACATTTTGAACATGAGTTTATGGCCTCAGCATGAAGTTCATTTAGTAAATTATGGTCCATTTAGAGAAAAGCAGACGATACAGCGGCGTATGCTTTAGGGCGGGGCTACCTTGTGATTAACCGGTTGCTACCACGGTGTTGTTTGGTCTGGGAGTTGTCTGTGTTTTCATCGTACAACTTTAACCCTTTCACGGAGTGTTTTCAGTTCATGAAAGTTAATCGTAACCTTTTTGCCGCCTAAAATGTTGCGCTGGGTTGTACTGAGCTCCACCCTCTCCTGTCTCTTCTGGTTGCAAAGAAGCCAAGATGGCGACGGCCAAAATGCAGAACTCAAGGCCTGAAATGGCCGTACTTCTTCCGTACGGTCTTTGGTTTCACACTATTACACTGATCAGCAGCTGGCGGTGACACGCCAGGATATGCTGCATTGTGCCAACAAAGACAGTGAAGAAGAAGATTACAAGCTCGTAGAGACGTCTGTAACTCAGCGGATCATTTTTGAACTAAATCAACTTCCCAGTTCAAACACTTGAAAAGCCCTTACTTTATTAAGTCATTCATTTAACAGCATTTTGAACTATTTTATTGACTAAATGATTAATAAATCAATAAAAAAACCAACTGATTTGTTTATGGCTGATGAAAATAATTGTTACTTGCAGCCATTAATTGCTTCTACGTGCGCGCTGTCTGTTGATGTTGCATCAGCACCGCTTGATGTTTGGTAACAGAGGATTTTCAAAAGTGTCAGTGTTCAGACGTAGCTGAGAGAAGAAGTCATTGCCAAATGCAGAGTGTTTCAGTCCGGGCACTTTGACGTTGGCTGCGTTATTGCTTTCTTTACTTTCACTTTCTCCGCAGAGCTTCATTACTGTAGAAAAGCTCAACATCACGTTTGCTCTTTTAAAGTGATATTAAATAAAAGCCCAAATTAGCAGCTACTATTTGACTCTACTCAGGATCTTAACTAAAACAAAGCCGAAAGAACAGATACAACTTAAAAATCAACAATGAGCTGTAAGAGATTAAAGTGCTCAGCAAAGTAAACAGTGTTTTTCTGGCTCTCTTGATCGTCTGATTACTGATTTAGTAATGCCTCTCATGCTCGTCAGCCTGTCTCTGCTTGTTTTGTTTTTTTTCTGCTTCCATGGAATTGCTGAATGTGAATCTAGTTTGGAAATTCCTGACTCGCTTTCTCTCTGAACACAGAAGGTGTAGATTCAATCTGTGGTCAGAATGTTTGAAATTTGAAAAAAGGGATTTTATTCAGGAAACGCAAAAAACAAACCCAAACAAGACATGGTTGAACCATTCATTTAAACAAAGAAAATACATGTCCACATCTAAAGGGAGGACGGAAATCTAAAATACAATACTAGGCACTCAAATAGACATCAAAGATAAAAATGATTTCATACAAATGAGCTCTTTAAAACAAATTTCCAACATGTTTCAGCGTGTCAAAACACACTGAGCTTCCTCTGTCTTGTTGGATAAAGTCGATGTAATTTGCAGGCGTTCAATGTTGCGGAGGAGCAGTTGGGAATTCCAGCGCTGTTGGATGCAGAAGACATGGTGGCTCTTAAGGTTCCTGACCGCCTCAGTATCCTGACATACGTGTCCCAGTACTACAACTACTTCCACGGGCGCTCCCCGAGTGAGTATCAGTGTCTCTGGCTGTGTTCGTCTCTGCCTTTGTCCCCCTTCTTCCTGTCTCACCAGCCTCTGTTTGTTCATGTGTTCGCTGCAGTTGGTGGTCTGGGAGGTATAAAGCGTCCAGCTGACGACCCCACGGATGAACCGTCCGGGAAGAAGAACCAGCCGGTGGCAGCGAAGGTGTTTCCCTCTTCCAAACCGGCCAGAGAGAACAGCCCTCCCCCCTCCGCCAACATCACAAGGCCCTCTCCTTCCCCAAAACAAACCAGAAATGCCACAAAGGTAACCTTAATTCTTCACATAAGCATTACAAAAAATGTAATTGTTTGTTTTTGGAATAACGTCCCAAACGATTTGGGAGTTGCAAAGCCAAACACATTAAAGACAATTCACATACCTACAAAGTTCTATTGTTGTCTGTATCAAACTGCTGTTACATAACAAACAAACAACACGCATTGCCTCAGATATGTTACAGCAATTACCTTGATAGATAACTTGTCCTGAATGAAGTTATCATTTCCATCTCATGAAACCTGCCTCGCCCTCTCCTCCCCTCTTCCAGGATGTGGTGGTTGAGAGATCCCATCAGACAGGCACCCTGAGCAACAAATGTGAGTCCTGCACCAAGCACGTTCACCTGGTGCAGCGACATCTAGTGGACGGGAAGCTCTATCACAGGAGCTGTGCAAAGTAAGGACCCGTGCTAATTCATTTAATCATAACTGATCCTCTTTATTCTAGTCTGCAGCGTGCCACCAGAGCGATTATAGACTCTTTTTTTATTTAAATTAAAAAAAAAAGTGAAATAATTGATTTTAAAAAAGCAATTATGAATTTATAATTAAAATGTATAATTAAAATTATAAATAGAACTCATATCACATTGTCAGACAAATAAAAGGATCAAATTTGAGGCAGCAGACGCATTCTTCTTCCTTGTCATAAGTTGACGCCTACATTACCCACAATGCAACTCCACCGGTTCATATGGAGTTTGTGTATGTGATGTTAGTAGCGGCTGTGCCCTGCTTATTATATTCCATTGACAGTTTCCATTTCATGATGGTTTTAATGTAAAGAATAACTTGATTTACTTTTTGTGAGTTGTAAGTAATTCTGGTTCTGACTCATTGCAATGACATTTCTTTGCCTTTCTTTTAGAGAAAATTAAGGTCAAATTCTGTCCTGTAGAAGAGACGAAAACAAAACGTCTGAAAAATTGCCGCTGTTGTCTCAGACATCAACTCTTGTCAGTTTGTAAAGTTGTATTTCATTGCTCCTGACCTCCACAGACCAAATCCAAGTATTACACATGTTTCTGGCAACATCCAGGATTCATGAAACCATAGCTATGTCCAGGCTCAAACAGAACCAGCAGGAGCTCTGATTTGCCAGCTGTGGGAAGAATTTAGTAACAATTACGTGTCTTTTGCTTTCTTTCTTTCAGGGCACTGTCGGCTACAAACCCACCTGCACCTTTCAGAGGTTTACCCACAAACACTCCCGTTTCCAGATTAACTCTGCTAGCTGACTCCACTGAAACCAACACGGCCACTCCGACTCATACACCCTCCAGACTGGGACTGTCATCGCTGACGGAGAAAGCCAGCACCCCTCCCAGCTTCTCCACCACTTTTCCTTCCTCGCCTCCCTCCCGGCCTGCTTCCAGTGTCTCTCCTGCTGCTAAAGAGACTCAGACGTCTGTTTCCAGATTAACTCACGTTACTCCCGAAACTTCCGCTTCCAGAATAACTCCCGAAACTCCCGTTTCCAGATTAACTCCGCTAGCTGACTCCACTGAAACCAACATGGCCACTCCGACTCATACACCCTCCAGACTGGGACTGTCATGGCTGACGAAGAAAGCCGGCACCCCTCCCAGCTTCTCCACCACTTCTTCTTCCTCGCCTCCCTCCCAGCCTGCTTCCAGTGTCTCTCCTGCTGCTAAAGAGACTCAGACGTCTGTTTCCAGATTAACTCCCGTTACTCCCAAAACTCCCGTTTCCAGATTAACTCCCATTACTCCCAAAACTCCTGTTTCCAGATTAACTCCTCTAGCTGACTCCACTAAAACCAACACGGCCACTCCGACTCATACACCCTCCAGACTGGGACTGTCATCGCTGACGGAGAAAGCCAGCACCCCTCCCAGCTTCTCCACCACTTTTTCTTCTTCGCCTCCCTCCCGGCCTGCTTCCAGTGTCTCTCCTGCTGCTAAAGAGACTCAGACGTGTGTCGTCTCCAAACCCGCGGCTTCAATGACTCCTAGTGACTCTCCCTCCACCACAGCAACAACTTCTATCAACACCAGGCCCACCGCTGCTCCTCGTACCTCGACCACGGCGGCCAAGACAGCGCAGTCCAAGCTCAAGTTCTTCCTATCGGAGAGCGATGAAGAGAAAAAGACTGCAACCGCCAACGTTGTCGTAAACAAAGGGCCGAACGTGACCGCCAAGGTCCAGGAGGCCACAGTAGGACAGGCCGTCTCTGTGGTTGTGAATGTTGGTGGCTTTGGCAGAAAGGAAGCGGATGTGAGCCCAAACACAGGTGGGGAGAGAGCGAAAGCATCTGGAGTAGGTGGAGATTCGAAAGCGAAAGCATCGGCCGCAGCCTTCATCTCCAAAACACTGGCTGAGGAGAACAACAACAACAACACCGCTAAGCCTGCGTGGACGACTGTAGCACTGAAGAAAATTGATAAGTAAGTAATGTAACACACACGTATATGATTTTATAACATCTGGCTTTCGCCCTGACATCTACTGGTGAATAGTAGCGTTTAATAACTCCTCACCTCTGATCAGACCTCCTCAAGTGGAGACTCCAAAGAAGGAGACGGGGGGCGTCAGAGGGAGAAAGGTGCTGAGGGCAGACCCGTCGATCCTCGCTGACCTGGTGACTCCGACAGACAACCGGACTCCCAGCCCGGCCAGCAGAAGTGGACTCAGAGCCAGAACCCCGGACAGAGAAGCCTCAAAGCCCGGCAGTGCATCGCCCAACAGCTCAGGTTAAACTCGCATATCTGGTGGCTGTACATAGAGCAGTTTGTTAGTAGCATTGTTTGTGTGGCCGGAACAGGAAATGTTGGAAGTGCCCTCTCATCTGCACGCTAAAGTACCTGTTTCACAGCCGATGGCAGTTATTTTATGATAGTTTGCATTTTTGCGAAGACCCGCCCTACTCTGCCTCTGATTGGCTAGCACTCGCTGCCTCCTTTGCAGAATTTGTTTAATTTTATTGCTGATAAAGATCGGAGGAGGGCTGGTAGTGTTAATGATTTCAGCTCAGATGTGGATGTTTTCGTCAGGATGGCAGCCTTCTTGCATAATCACAATGTCCTGATTTAGGGAGAAAATGTTTTTTATTTTTTATTTTGCTTTATAGACCGATCGGGGATTTCATTTTTAATGTGGTGCCATGATTAAACTGACTTTTAACCTGAATGTTGATATGGCACACTGATTAACAAGAACATTATTTGTTTTCTTCTCCTCAGCATTAGAAAACAAAGCGTCTCCTGCGGACTGGAGGTCGAGGCTCAAACCCATCTCCAAGTAAGACTTATTAAATAAACGTTTGTCCTGAGTCCCCTCCATGTTCTATGTTTCTGGTTAATTCATTCCCTTACTGGCTCAGCTCCTAAAGTCATACCTCCAGCAGGGAGTATCTGTACGTGGGCGGGCTCACAGCGTAGCGACATCTCCTCTTCTCTCCTGATATCCTGTCCATTCATCCATCCTTTGATCCTGCCTTTCATCCATCCATCCAACCTTTCCCTCCCACAGGAAGCCTGTACCTGCTGCTCCTCCAAATGCCTCGGCCATCATTTGTAGTCGGAGCTTTCGGCCGCTCCTCTTCCGCCCACATGCATGTGAGCCCCAAATGGTGTCAAGACTGAGTAGAGTCCTCCGTGGTGCAACATATGCTCGGTGCTCAGGGTTCCTTTCCCCTAGGATGACCTTTCCTCCCGCTCTCATGAATCAAAACTGAACACCAGAGGGGGACTACTTGTAGGAGCAGATAAAGGGCCATTAATTAAAGTCTCTTTGTCTCTTTTCTGCTCGTCCTCAGACCTGCTGCTCCTTCCCAGCCCTCCCCTAAACCCTGGGCTAATGGAGCTGGACAGCCTCAGACTTCAGAGCTGTCTGTTGGGCCTTCTCCCTCCTCTCATCTTCACAACCCGAGCATCTCTGTCACTCCACCTGCAGCAAAGGGTAACATGGGTACCTGTGTTGTAATGTTGTTCCGTTTAAATATGATTTTGGACAAAAAAAACAACAACCCTGCACATTGCTATTTTATTCCCATTTCTTTTAGTCCACGTCGGCATTACAACGTACCACAAATAGTGTTCCTAAAGAATTCCTATATATGAATCCGACCTCTCAGGCTCTCCTGCCTTTGTTCTCAACTTTCATTCTATCTATTTGAATTATCTTTCTTTCTTTTTCAGGATTCCTGAACGGTCAGACAGACCCAACTGCAAATGGCACCAAGTCAGAGTCAAAGAAGGTATCGAACCGTAGAAAATCAGTTTGCTTTAGCTTACAGCACATTGTTTTAAATGTAATCACGTTGAGGTTTTTATCTTAACAACGACAACAATTTTAATTTATTTAATCTACTGATTGGTAGTAAAACATTTTTTTAAATAAAAGCATTTCTCTTTTAACAAACTAACTACATTTCAATTGTTTATTAATGTAATAATTTATACATCTTACTCATCTGATCATCTTTTACTGCCTCTTTTCTTTAAACTGAAAGGATGTCATTTAATAACGACAGTGGGATCACTATGTTAGGTTTGCCTGGGTTTTCGGATCTATGTTTTGGTTCACAGCTTCCATTACATTTGTGTGTGTTTGTGTGTGTGTGTGTGTGTGTGTGTGTGTGTGTGTGTGTGTGTGTGT